GGTTTAGGGTTTAGGGTTTAGGGCGTGTGAATACCCTAAGCCGTAACGCCTAAACCCTAGAGCCTAAACCTATGCAGCTGGAACGTTGCAGGCCTCGCGACCTGCATTTGACCAGTGCGTTCGCGAGATCGAGACGCCTGGGCCTGGCAATTGTTCAGTATTCTGGGGAACCCTAAACCCTAAACCCTAAACCCTAAACCCTAAACCCTTGTTTCCTAAAGTTGCTGGTTCTCAGTAAGTGTCTTGGGGAATGTGGTAAATGCCTTACATACCGAAACCGTCAGGCCGGAGGGCGTGTGAGCCTCATAACTAGAAAGCAGGTATCAGGGGTTTAGGGTTTAGGGTTTAGGGTTTAGAGTTTAGGGTGCAGGGTTTGGGGGGCTCAGGGTTTGGGATTCTGACAGCCCTTGGGTTTGAGAGGGTATCCAACATGCAGGGCCCAGACTAAGGGCCTTGTTAAGGCCTTAAGAATTTAAGCAGACTTAAACCTGGGTTTTAGGGTTTAGGGTTTAGGGTTTAGGGTTGAGATACAGGACTTGTAGAAGTTTTAGGGCTTCATAGGGCTGAAATTAGGATTTAGGGGCTACTTAGGTATATCGGGACTGTATAAGGTATATGGAGGGGTTATCGAAGAGGTGCCTGGACTGCCCAGCAGTGCCCTGATTTCCTTCCTTTGGTATTTTAGGGTTTTGGGGGTCTTCAGGGTTTGGATTCAGGTTTTTAGCGTCTAATGGCAGGCCTGCTCGTTACTCAAGCAAGTAGAAGCAAGAGACAAACCCTAAGCCCTAAACCCCAAATCCAAAACCCAACATCCCAAACGCGAAGCCCTAAACCACAAACCCTGAACCCCAGGTTAGTGAGAATTTGGGCGGGGGTCAATGGAGCAAGGAACTTCTTTCCGGCTTCGCACCCCATCTACGACTACAGCTTCAACTTCGAAAAGGCTCAGCTTTCACACATACAGGATTTAGATGTCGATATGTATCACAATCTTTGTATATGTGTTCTCTTACAAGCCTGAAGCCCAGCCCTGCAAGGTTTTGAAGGTCCAGGGCCTGTCGCGCTAAGCGCTCGACCCTTCAACCCTACGGCAAGTAGTAGTAGTAGTAGTAGTAGTAGTAGTAGTAGTAGTAGTAGTAGTAGTAGTAGTAGTAGTAGTAGTAGTAGTAGTAGTAGTAGTAGTAGTAGTAGTAATATGCACATGGTAAACCGAGTGGTTCACTTGAAAGATGAAGAAGCACAAGCTCATCATAAGAGTCAGCCCTAAACCCCAAACTCCCCAACCCCTACACCCTAAACCAGAACCCGAAACCCTAAATCATAGTCATAACATTCAGAACAACCCCAGGCTCAAAGCCAGAAACCCTAAACCCCTAAAACCCCTAAACCCTAAACCCTAAGTCATAGTCAGAGCATTAAGAACAACCCCGGACTCAACGCAAGAAAGCCGCCCCAAATCCCTAAATCCCTGACTCCCTAAACCCTAAACCCTAAACCCAAGCCCTAAACCCTAAACCCTAAACCCTAAACCCGAAATCACAGTCGTCACAGCAAGCAAGCCGCAAGAGCTGCCGGAGGCTGACTGGCAAACTTGGGAGGAGAAGCTGCCCAACCCTTTCAAGCCGGGCGAGGACGAAGAGGGACTACCTTAGAGGTTCAGGGTTTGGAGCTGAGGGTTTGGGGTTTAGGGTTTAGGGTTTGAGGTTTAGGGTTTAGGGTTGAGGGTTAAGGGTTGAGGGTTTAGGGTCACGTGTTGTAGGTGGGTCACGTGTTGTAGGTTACCTTGATGAATGCTACGGGGGGGGGGGGGGGGGGCTTAAGTTCTTCAGGTTGGGACATACATGGGGCTTTGGGTTTCGGGGGGGGGGGGGGGGGGGGGGGGGGGGAAGGGGGTCAGAGGTCAGTTGCTTCAGGCCACAAGCTACTTGGAACCGCTCCGACTTAGTAAGTAGGGCTCGCAAAGTTGGACCAATGGGTTTTTTGCAGGATTTCTGGGGGATTGGAAGTAGACTTACTAAGTCAGAAGAACTTCCAAGTAGACCCTCCAACATGGTTCAGGGGCTTAAGGCTCCGGCAGCCAGGGAGACTACCCTAAACCGTGCAGCCTAAACCGTTTCGGGTTTAGGGTTTAGGGGTGTTTGGGGTTTACGGTCTAGGGTTTAGTGTTTAAGGATATTCCCAAAGCATCGTGCTTGAGTTGCCGGTTTAGGGCTTGGGGTTTAACGTACCTTTCTCAAGTGCCTTCGGAGGAAGCTTTCGGAGCCCTACCGCTGCCATGATCTAAGGTACCGAAAATTCCTGATATCTTGGATTAGGATATCGCGCGTCCCGAATTTTTCTTAGGAGAAGCCCCAAGCTCTTCAAATCTTGTGCTGTGTGTTCAGGACACCCCCTTCCACCGCATCATCGTGCCCACGACTGACACCATCCGCGCCTGTTCTGAGTTGTCTGTTTTGGGGTCTGGGATTAAAGGTATATTAACCTAGTAGTAGGGTAGGTAACCTTTAACCTTTTTGGGGTAGTATAATCCCCTTATAATCCCAAAGGTTAGCCTTGAATTCCCCCAGGTTACTGGACAACTAAGTCAATATGTTTTAGGTTTCAGGGTTTAGGGCCTCAACCTGAACCCGTCCCCCAATCCCTAAGCAACCCTGAGACTAATGCCTTCGGCACTACAGAAAGGCAGGCAGGATTCAACAAGATGTGAGAAAGTCTCTCAAGTCCCTGGAACTGAGTACAGAACTTGTCGTTTGTATAAGGCGCTTAGGAATTACCTAAGCCCCAAACCCTCAATCCCATAGGGGTGTAGTCTGCTAGGGTCCAGTCAGGAAGGAACAAAAGCCTCCACAACCCTGCCGTCCGAAGGTAAAGTCTTAGGGCCACATATCGCCCTAAACCCGCAACCCTTACCGCAAAACAGGGTTTAGGGTTTAGGGTTTAGGGTTACGGTTAGGGCTTAGAGTCTTTCAGGTTTTAGTCCCTAGACTTTTTTGGGCATGAAGGCAACATGTTCATCCTCAACTCCCTCAATGGAAAGCACTTCCACAGCTTGCTTGTCGGCGCGACGGGCACGGGCAAGACCATTGCCGTGCAACAGGCCCGCTAAGCGTTCACGGTCTAGGGCTCCTGCTTTGGGAGTTCGGGTTTAGGGTTTAGGGTTCGGGGTTAGGGTTTGCTCCTGCTTGGGAGCTCGGGCTTAGGGGAGAAGAGTACTAGAACTGTTCGCGCTTTGCGAGTCTAGCGTTTACAGCCAGACGTATGGGAAGTTCTCTGAATTCGTGCCCCTTGTTTGATTCCTATACATATTCCGGCACCCGTAAAAGAAGGACTCTAAAATGGACCCTGTGTAGGGCGCTTCCTATATATTATGGGGTGCTGCAGGGAGGGGGGCCCATGGGGGGGGGTTAGGGTTTAGGGTTAACGGTTTAGGGTTGAGGGTTTAGGGTTTAGGGTTTCGGGTTTAGGGTTTACGGTTTAGGGTTTAGGGTTTAGGGAACCTTATGGAAGCTGAGGGAGCCCCAGGGAGCAGTTGGGGGTGTACTAGGGCGAACCTTGGCTCACATACATACCCTAAGCCCTAAACCCTAAACCCTAAACCCTAAACTCTAAACCGACGCAGGCATACCCGGATCTGCAGAGTGCGGGTTGGAGTCCCTGAACTCTAAACCCTAAACCCTGATTATTACACCAAACGGCAAAGAGAAACAGCAGCATCCATCAGCCACAGGTAGCCTGAACACCAACACCTAAATAGGTCGGCGCTGTGAAATCCGAAAACGAAAACCTAAACCCTAACCTCTAAACGTAGGTATTCGTTTCGTGCAAAGGGCCCAGGTACCTTTGGTTGCGGGTTTAGGGTTTAGGGTTTGGGGTTTAGGGTTTAGGGTTTAGGGTTTAGGGTTTAGGGTTTGGAGTGCCTCCGTCTTGGGCCCCGACCTAGCTGCTATCTTCGCATCAGCTCTTCATGAGTACCTGGATCCTTGGCCTGGTGTTCAGGCTCAGCTTAGGGCTCGAAGGTGGCTTTCAGGGTTTAGGGTTTAGGGTTAAGGGTTTAGGATTTAGGATTTAGGGTTTAGGGTTTAGGGTTTAGGATTTAGGCTTTAGGGTTTGGGTTTTAGGGTTCAGGGTTTAGGGTTAAGGGGTGTAGGGTTTGGGTAGCGGATGTTTGTGGAGCAGGCCATTTCGGAGCTCGATGACACGGCATGGACCTCGCTGACCATCAACATGTCGGCGATGACATCATCAGGCGAGGCTTGAGAAGTCACTAGTTGGTGCCCTTAAGAAAAGGGCTTAGGGTTCAGGAAAGGAACCCCGCCCCCCCTACCATACTAACTAGAGGTAAGGGACTTACAACCTAAGTTAGGATCCTTATAACCCACGTTAGGGTCCTTTTTAAGTCTACCTAGAACTACGGGGGGTCCCTTGTAGACCTAGACCCTAAGCCTTGTTTGCCGGTCTGAAGGGTTCAGGTACCCCTCCGAACCCCAGGAGCACCCTGCCTGTTTTTGGGTTGCAGGGCAACCTGCTTTGAGGGTTTAGGGTTTAGGGTTTAGGGTTTAGGGTTTGGGGTTTGGGGTTTGGGGTTTGGGGTTTAGGGGTTGGGTTCCCTGTTGGGCTACGCAACGCCTTGCAGCCAAAACATGGCATGGACTTCACATCATGTGGCCTTGGGGTTTGCAAGGTTTTGGGTTTTAGGGTTGATAGGGTTTGGGCTTATTAGGCGTAGGGTTTAGGGTTTAGAGTGGCGACAGGCTCCTGTAAGAGTAGTTTCACAGTGTTTTTGGGGGGGCACCTTTCACATTTCCAGGAAATGCTCACCACGTGCAGTCTTCTTAACAGGGAGACTCTAAAGCCTAAACCCCAAACCCAAAGCTCAAACCCTAAACTTTAAGCCCTTAAACTCTGCGAGGGTGAATAGAGGTGCGACTCAAGTAAGTTGGGCCTATGTCGAGAATGCCAGTCGGCCCCACCCAAAACCCCAACTCCCCCCCCCCCCCCCCCCCCCAAGACTGTTAAGGCTTAAGGGGCTCGAAACCTGGTTTAGGGCTTAGGGTTTTAGGGTGCCCTAAACCCTAAACCCTAAACCCTAAACCCTAAACCCCATAAGCCCCAAACTCAAACATCTCCGGGAGGCAAGACCCAGGAGATCATCGAGAGCAAGATCGAGAAGCGCATCAAGAACAAGTTCGGACCGGTTCCTCTACTAAGGGCATGAAGGGTTTAGGGTTTAGGGGTCAGTGTTGAAATTTAGGGCTTCTCCGAAGGTCTTAGTAGCCCAGTGGTGCTGATTTAGCCTCTTCTTGGTTACCCTGATGAACTCATCAACCCCAAAAGGCCACCCTATCGTAATATGGTCAGTTCTGTCAATGATAGTCCTTTTTTACCCTATTGTAATATGGTCAGTTCTGTCAATGATGGTCCCTGTTTGGGCACTCGAGAAAATAGGGGCCGCCTTATCATAAGGACCCCATAAGGACCCGTAGTTTCGAGAAGTGACCCTAGGGTGACTGGCCGACCAAGAGATCTAGAGGTTTAGGATTGGTGGCGTTGAAGTTTAGGGGGGCTCAGGGTCGTTGTTTAGATCCCTGAACCCCATTGACTTTATAGGAGTTCCCTATTAATTATCGAGTTGGGGACCCTCCTAAACCCTAAACCCTAAACCCTAGACCCTAAACCCTAAACCCTAAACCCTAAACCCTAAACCCTAAACCCTAAACCCTAAACCCTATGTCAAACGTTTAGGGGTGCAGGGTTGACGGGTGCGGGGAGGGCTTTTGAAGGCTTAGTGTGAAGGCGATCGGTGGTTCTACTTCTTTGATCATGGATTTTAGGTTTTTTTATGAAAGGGGTAGAAGTGTATGTGTTGTTCTTTCTCTCTGTACATATATATATACACTTTATATATATACAGATGTACTGACGCATGCTTTGTTTCAATGAAGAAAGAATACTTGGGAGCTAGCAGTGTTGCGAGAGTCGAGTCAAGGACCTCTTGTCAAATGTTCAGGTGTGCATCCACCATGGGTGTTGTTCGGTGTTCCTATACCCTCAACTCTGAACCCTAAACCCTAAGTTCTAAACCCTAGCCCTAAACCCTAAACCTCTAAACCCTGAACCATGAAACCCTAAACCCTTATCCCTCAAACCCTGCAACTTTTGGGGTTTTGAGGGGGGCCTGAAGGCTTTGAACGGCAAGTTGTAGAGGTCATGAGCCCTCAGCTCACCAAAGAAATGAGGGTGTAGGGATGATAACCCTAAGCCCTAAGCCCTAAACCCTAAACCCTAAACCCTAAACCCTAAACCCTGAACCCTAAAACCTAAACCCTAAACCCTAAACCCTATATAGGGGTTTACAGAACATCCGCAGTGCTGGGGGCGCCGGGGGGGAGGGGGGGGGGGGGGGGGGGCATCTTGCAGACACCCAATCCACACAAAAGCTGCACCCCAACATTCTGCCCAGCATTTCAGGGTTTAGGGTTTAGGGTTTAGGGGTAAAAAAGTTGTCAGGCTGGCAACAAGCGCATGCTCATGTTCGTGGACGACCTGAACATGCCCAGGACTGCATGGCCTTCAAGTTGCAATCCTCTGTCTCATTGAGGCCTACAGCCTAGACCCTAAACCTTTGTAAAGTCGAGGGCTTAGGGTTTAGGGCTTAGGGTTTCAAGAGCATGTTACAGCAGGTAGGGGGAGTCCAGTACATTCCTTAATGCGAGGTGACCCGTTGACGATAATTATGCGCGCTTTCGGCATCTCCAGTCCTATACACCCTAAGCCCCTAAACGCCCCTAAAGCCCCCTTAAAACGCCCCAAACCTCTCAACCCCCTCAACCCTTGAACCCCTGAACACCTAAAGCGTTAATCCCCCGAACCCTACAGCCCAACACCCCTAAGCCCTAAACCCCTGAACCCCTCAATCCCATTTTCCCCAAAGCCTGAAGCCCCTAAACCAAATCTCCGAAACCCAAAAACCCTAAACGCGACCTAAACCCCTTAACCCCTCAAGCCCTAGACCCCCTTCACCCCTGGATACCCTCAACATCCTGAACCCCTTAGCGCCCTAACCCCTTTAACTCCTTGAAACCTAAGGCACAAAATCTGCAAAGCCACCCCTTCACCCCTGAAGCCCAAGAGCCTAGTAGCCCCCACAGTCCAAGTCCCAAAGCTCTTTCCATCCCTGCACGCCTAACGCACTGCAGTTTAGGGTTTAGGGTTTAGGGTTTAGGGTTTAGGGTTTAGGGTTTAGGGTTTAGGGCAGCCCTACATCCGCTTAAATCCCTAAACCGTTTGTCCCCTCCCAAGACTTATAGGCCGTAAACCCCTATAATCCCCCAAGCCTCTATAAGTCCCATAAATCCCCTAGAATCTCCTAACATCAGAAAACCCCTAAAGCCCTAAACCCCAAACCCTCCAAACCCTCCAAACCCTCCAAACCCTTAACCCCTAAACCCTAAACCCCAAACCCTAAACCCTAAACCCTAAGCCCCTCACAATCCGCAGGAAGGACACCTTCGGATCGCAACCACCCCTGGAACTCCTCAGGCGCGGCAAACCGGTTCAGCAGGATACGGGTTTAGGGGTTTAGGGGTTTAGGGCTTAGGGCTAGGGTTTAGGGTTTAGGGTTTAGGGTTCAGGGTTTCGGGCTTAGGGTGCAGGGCTTAGGTGTTAGGGTTTAGGGTTTCGGTTTAGGGTTCAGGGGTTTAGGGTTCAGGGGTTTAGGGTTTAACGTTTTTTGATTTGGTGACAGTTTGCTTCTTTTCAGAAACTGTAAGTGGTGCATTTGTTTGCGCTAGGATTGGGGTTGGGCATTAATGGTTCGCGTTGAGGGTTTAGGGTTCCCCTCCCCCCATTACACACAGAGAGGGACTTCGTTTCTGTTCTTGGCTTTGCTGAGCGGCTAGTTTGTGATGGCCTCTGAACCCAAAACCAAACCCTAAACCCTAAACCCTAAACCCTGCTTAGAAGCTGGCCCAGGTGCAAGGTTTGGTGTTTTTGGGTTCAGGGCTCAGGACTTAGGTTTGGAGTTTAAGGTTTTCGGCCCTGGGGGTTGTGAATATCAGGGTCAAAGGTGTTCTTGCGGAACCTTCTGTTGGGTGGCACATTTAGTGGTTTGGAGGTTGAAAGGTTTGTTGTGCTTTTAAAGGGTTTTTTCTGCGTTGTTAGTTTCAAAGGCTTCCCAGTTGAATGACCGTTGCAGGGTTTAGGTCTATATGTGGTGTTGAGCGGAAGTCTATATTTTGGGATTTTTAAAGGCTTGGTATTCAGCGGCTCGCGCTGTAGAGGCTTAAACCCTCAACCCTAAACCCCCAAGCCCTAAACCCTTCGGGGGAGGGGGCTTGCGGTTGAGGAGGCAAGGTCAGGGATGAGGCCAGTTTGCGGAGTTGTGGTAATTGTTGTGCTTCTTGATTCAGTGTTTGGGGTCAGCACTTAGTATTTAAAAGCCGTAGGGCGTGGGGGTGCAAACCTTGGAAAGCCCTACAAGTCACCTCAACCCCTAAACCCCCTAACCTCTAAACCCTACATACACCATGAGCACCCTAAACCCTAAACCCTAAACCCTAAACCCTAAACCTTAAACCCTAAACCCTAAACCCTAAACCCTAAACCCTAAACCCTAAAACCCTAAAACCCTAAAACCCTAAAACCCTATACCTTCCTCTCAGGGGCACCCAAGAAGGGCTTCCCTTCACAGCGGAAGGCAGTGGATCGATTACGGCTGCTGGTACGACCGCGTCAAGCAGACGCTGAGGCGTGGACCGATTTTCGGTTTAGGGTTTAGGGTTTAGGGTTTAGGGTTTACGGTTTAGGGTTTAGGGTTTAGGGTTTTGGGGTTTAGGGTTTAGGGTTATTTAGGGTTTAACAAGTAGGGTTTTAGGGCGCAGGGTTCAGGGTTTAGGGTTAAGGGGCTTCAGCCTGGAACCTGAAGCAGGTATGTCGAGGGCATCCACATGGTCTCTGCCATGGGCCCACCGGGAGGTGGACGAGCAACTGCGGCCGCAAGTTGGGTTCGGTCTTAAGGTCTTTGCGGTTTAGGGTTTAGGTGTTTAGGGGTTTAGGGGTTTAGGGGTTTAGGGGTTTAAGGGTTTAGGGGTTTAGGGTTTAGGGCTTCAGGCTTAGGGCTTCGGGCTTAAGGGCCTTAGGGTTTAGGGCTTTATAGGGTTTAGGGCTTTAGGGCTTAGGACTTTGGGATTAGGGCTTGGGGCTGAGGGCTTGGGGCTTAGAGCTTTTGGGTTAGAGTCCACTACTGGGCTTTAAAGCGTTTTCGCCCCCAAAACGCCCTTGCACCCTGACTGCCCTAGACCACAGAAGGGTCGTTCTTTTTCGAAGTCCTTCTTTTCACTATATAGTAGGACCCAAAAAGGGTTTAGGCTTAGGGCTTAGGGTTATAAAGTTTAGGGTTACTAGGGTTTAATGTTATAATTAGGGTTTTGGTTTAGGGTTTAGGGTTTAGGGTTTAGGGTTTAGGGTTTAGGGTTTAGGGTTTAGGGTTTAGGGTTTAGGGTTTAGGGTTTAGGGTTTAGGGCTTAGGGCTTAGGGCTTAGGGTTTAGGGTTTAGGGTTTAGGGTTAGGGCCCAAGTTGGACACATAATGTGTGAGGCCGTCATCTCCGCGCGGCTGCAGTCTGCGGCAAACAACCTTTGCTTCGCCTCCCAGCTGCAGTTTAGGGTTTAGGGTTTAGGGTTTAGGGTTTAGGGTTTAGGGTTTAGGGTTTAGGGTTTAGGGTTTAGGGTTTAGGGTTTAGGGTTTAGGGTGTATGGTTTAGGGTTTCGGGTTTCCGGTTTCGGGTTTAGGGTTTAGGGTTAGGGGTAGCATGGTCTCATGGGGGGTCCAAGGCAGGGAATAGTACGTCTTGAGGGGGTTTAGGGGCAATGTAGGGGTTTGGGAGGTTTGGAGGTTTGGGGGTTTGGTTTGGGGGGGTTGAGGGGATTTGGGCGGTTTGGGGGGCTTGGGGTTTAGGGTGTGGCCCCTGAGCTGCTGCTAAGCCCCTCCAGGGTATTTTGGCTTAGGCTGTTTGTTTAAAATGTTAGGGTTTAGGATTGAGGGTTTATGTTGGGTTAAGGTTCTCTTGTTTAGGGTTTTTAGGGTTGTTTGGTCCAGAGTTTCAAGGGCTTTTTGGTGAGGGCTTAGGGTAGACAGAGTTGTCCTTGGCAGCGCTCGGGTCCTAAACCCTAAAACCCCAAACCCCAAACCCCAAACCCTAAACCCTAAACCCTAAACCCTAAACCCTAAACCCTAAACCCTAAACCCTAAACCCTAAACCCTAAACCCTAAACCCTAAACCCTAAACCCTAAACCCTAAACCCTAAACCAACCCTCAAAACCCCGGAGGTGAATCCCGCGGACAGCCAGATCAAGCGCATCTTCATGACCTTGGCGAGCCCCTTTACTTGCAGTGTTGGTTGAGGCTGTAGGGTTTAGGGTGTAGGGTTAGGGTTTAGGGTTTAGGGTTTAGGGTTTAGGGTTTAGGGTTTAGGGTTTAGGGTTTATAGGCTCTAGGGTTTAGGGTTCTGTACTTGCCTCCCAGGCAACAAGCTCAACGAGTTCCGCAACGAAGACATCAAAGCTTTGCCTCACGGATTGAGAATGGCGCGCTGGGTTTGGGGGTTTTAAGCTTTCGGAGGTTTAGGATTTTGGGGGATTTTAGGGGTTGAGGGTTTTAGGCTTTCAGGGTTCTAGCTATTTTTGTGTTTTAGGGTTTTGGGGTATAGAGTTTTAGTATTTCGTGGGTTCGTGGTTTTCGGGTTCAGGGTTTTAGGATGTCGCGTCTTGGGGATTTTGATTTTCGGGTTTAGTGGTTTAGGACTTCAGGGCTTTGTAGGATTTCAGGGTAGTTAAGAGGTCGCTACATTCTTGTCGGCACACGAAACATGTGGCGGTAAGGGGTGGTTCGGAAGAAGAAGAGTGCACGGCTCGAAAACCGTATTTCTAAACCCTCTGCTTGAGTAACTACAGTAGCGCAAGAAGGAAGGGGGGAAGGAGAGGTGTGGTTGCATATATGGGTAGTTTCTAAACGAGGGTCCCTTTTTTGGGTCCCCCCATAGAAGTTAGGATTGGGGTTTGGGGTTTGAGTTTAGGCACCTTATAAGCAGGCAACAACAAATTGTACCCAAATTTGGAGAACTACCCATATGTACATACATCCCTTGATGCTTGGAAACCAGGTCGGAACCATTGACCATGACGACCATCGCCATCTACAGTCAGATCAGCGACGGCACCTCTGCTGGATTTGGCTGTCCCACTTTGACCTCAAGCCCTACACCCAAAACCCTAAAACCCCTTACAGCCCTAAACCGTTCTTAGTAGCCCGAAGTCCTAAGAAGCCTTTGTAACCATAAACCCTAAAAACCCTTGTAACCCTGAACCCTAAACCCTAAAAACCCTGGCAACCCTAAACCCTGAGCCACAAACCCTAAACCCGAAACCCTAAACCCTAAACCCGGGCAGGAATCTGGACCACTCTTTGCAAGCCCTGCTCCCGAAACCTTGAATCGAACCCCAAGTGCCACCTTAGACCTGGAAACGCTAGGGTTAGGCCCTAAACCCTAAACCCTAAACCCTAAACCCTAAACCCTAAACCCTAAACCCTAAACCCTAAACCCTAAACCAAGGGGCTTAGGGTTTGCTAGTAGGGCTTAGTGTTTAGGGTCTAGGGTTTCGGAAAGGCCTTGTTGTTTCTTGGATAGCTGGAAACCACTCCCAGGGGTTCCCACCGGTGCATCTTGCTTCTAAGGCTCGCTTCATGGGCCCGTATAAGGGGCACCCGCTTTCTTCTTATGGACCCAGAGTAGGCCCTTATTCGCTTTTTAGGGTTCAGGTTCCCTTTAAACCAGAAAGGGCACCCTTTTCATTCCTAGGTTACTCTTGAGGGTCTAGCAGTTCTAAAACCCCATCACAAGTCCCAACAAGATTGAAGCTCTAAACCCTAGAGCTTTCCGCGCTCGAGGGGCCTTCACTCAAGACAGGGACTGACCGCACTGTGCTATGCTATAGTACGCTCCTACGCTACACTACAGACACTACATTTGGCCTGAGTATCCAGGGTTGTAGGGTCCTTTTAGTCAATCCAACAAACTGGACCATCGAGTGGCCTCCGAGTCTCTGCACTTTCTGCAAACCTGTAGGCTGCAAGAGGTCTAGGTCCTCCAGTCCGAAGCTTGCTGATTAGATCCAGAGGCTATGGCGCATGTCGCAGTCTTCTTGTCGATGTTGTTCGGCCTGGCGTTGAGACCTTGCCTCGGCAGGGCCTTTCCCCTGCTGAACTCCTTGGATAGTGTCTTCCAGGAGTTACCCAAGGACTGGGTCGCTCCTCGTGTGGCGTGGAGGTACTTCCATGTTTTGGGGAAGGTGCCAGAGGGGCGGCGCTTGGAGCTTCTGGCGCCAGGCTTGACCGAGCACAACGTCATTGTTGGCACGTTGAACCGCACATACACCATCTATGTCGCCAACCCAGACACACACGTACAACAGCAGGGGCTCATTGTCTGGCTGCACGGTCTTAATAATCACCACCTCCGCATTTGGAATTCGGGGGACTACCGAAGCAACACTGCCAAGCTTGGTTGGGTATCGGTTTTTCCGGTGGGTTGGACTGCTAACGGGGACGGCACAGGCCGAAGTTGGTACTCGGGGGGGTGCTGCCATATAGATAACGCGGTTGTGGACGATAAATCCTTCATCAAGGAGATGATGGCCATCATCCGTGGCACCTTCCAGCTGGACATCCCGGAAGGGAGGTTCTTTCTCTCGGGCTACAGCGCAGGTTGCTACCTCGCACACGCGATCTCCTGCGATCCAACGACGGCCGCCGACTTCGACGCCTTCGGCGGCCATGGTTGCTATTGGAACCGGAGTTGGAATTACTGGTACTACGTTGAAGGTTGTGCCCCAACGAAGCCCTTCTTCTACGCAACAGGGACTTTGGATCAATATTTTCTCGAAAAGGATGCAGATGCGAGTTGGGCTCGTTATACGACGTGGCTACAGTGCCAAGGAGAGGCGCAGCTGTCTTTCAGCTCCGGTATTGTCACATGCACCGACAAGACGAATTGCGGACCAAATTTGGTAAGCGCTCGGCACTGCAAGCTTCACGGTTATGGGCACGGCTTTCCTGTTGCATCCCATGACCCCCCAAGGTGGGAGTTTTCCTTGGAACAATGGAAATGGTGGACGAGCGTTGTCGAAGCTAACGTCACGGAGTTCAACTTCACCGGGTATCATGCGGGGTTAACGGACCCCTCAGCGGACGATGCCGCCCCATCGAAGGTGTCGTCCCTTGGCCTTTTCCTGGCCATGGTCTCACTTCATATTGTGATTTGAATGCCGTGTTTCGGTGCGTTCTGACCCAGACTCAGACAAGTCTAGAAGGAGCAGGCTCAGCTCGCTCCAGGATGCACACATGGCTTAGGGTTTAGCATTTTGGGCTTGGGGTTTAGGGTCCAGGGTTTGGGGTTTAGGGTTTAGGGTTTGGAGTTTAAGGCTTCGGGAATAAGGTTTCGGGCTCAGGGTTTGGGACTTTGGGTGCGCGGTTGAGGGTTTATTGTTTGCAGGTTTAGGGTTTGGGGTTCAGGGTTTGGGGTTTAGGGTTTATTGTTTGGTGGTTTAGGGTTGAGGGTTCAGGTTTTACTGATTGGGGTTTAGAGGGTCGAGAGTTCAGGGTTTGGGGAGTTGAAGGCCTGCGACGACGGTGTAACTTTCCAGCACCGAAACATGGTCGCTAGACCCATCTGGGGTTTGACGGAAATTGGGGGTCCTTATTTGGGGGGTCTATATATTAAGAACTCATACTATTTGGGGTCCATATTGAGGGCTCTCCCTTTTCTCGGAAACTACCATCTCACTCCACACGACTTGTGGCTCGAATGTGCAGGCAGCGCGAATCACAAAGCCCATCCCGCTCGAGGCATGCCATCTCTCAGAGATGTTAGCCCGTAAAAGCTTACAGGCAGACGATGGGGAAGCAGGCGCGCTTCAAAAAGCCTCTGCTGCTCGTTGGTATGTTGCGGGTTAAATGGCTAGGACCCAGAGTAGGCCCTTATTCCCTTTATTGGGGTTCAGGTTCCCTTATAAAGTCCCTTTAAACCAATAAGGGCACCCTTGTTCTTCGGGCTTCTATTATCTAGGGGTATATAAACCCTAAACGCTAAACTCAAAACCCTAAACCCTATGCGGAGCTGCAGTTTGTATAAAAGGTAGTATTTCAAGGGGGTTGGAAAACCCGTTACCTTTTGGCTCAAGATGGGCAATGCGCCTGCCTGAAGAAAAGAACTTGCGTTTGTGTGTTGTTGGTTGGTTCAGGGTGAAATGCAGGGCTTCGGTTGGGGTTGATTGTTTTGTTCCCTGTCCCCCTTCGGTTGCCCCCCGTAGCTTATGAGCCCAAATTAGGCTCCCTGTGGGTTGTTAAGATTCTGTACTTGTTTGGGGCAATGGACATGTTGCGGCGTCGATCTGAACCTGGTTGGGCACCATAAAGTCCGAAACCTGTAAGCATGACATGGTTGGGTTGGGTTTATGGCTTAAGTGCTCTCTGTCCTTACACCCTAAGCTTCAGTAAAGAAGTCTCTCCCGTTACTTTTCGGTCAGGAGATTGCAGGGTTTCTGTTGGCTGCTGCTAATGTCTGCTGCAGGATTCCTACCTACGCCGGAGAAGTGCCACTACCTCTTCAACCTCCGCGACATCGCCAAGAGCCTCGCCGGGTAGAGTTTGCGGCATGGGGAATACGGTCTCAGTCCATGCTCTCAGTTGTTTACCAACTGTTTTCCTCGGCAAGTCTGCAAGGTATCAGCAGTCCGAAGGCCTTATATTACATACATATATATGTATATATTCTTTCTACACCCCACACCCCAGACTGTTGAACCCCGTCGTCGTTGCAGCAAGACCGAATGCGGCCAAGGATCTTCCAAGGCATCTACCTCGCAGATACCAAGGCGTTTGGGGAGGGGGGGTGGGGGATCAGGGGTTAGGATTGAGATCAAGTTTGCGGGCTTAGGGCTTAGGGCAAATAGGGCTAATAGGGCTTAGGGCTTCGGACTTCGGGCTTCGGGCTTAGGGCTTAGGGCTTAGGGCTTATAGGGCTTATAGGGCTTCGGGCTAAGGTTTTGGGGCTTAGTGTTTGGGGTTTAAGGTTTCGGGAGTTGCAGAACTTCAGGGGGTTGACCCACATATCGGGCCTCTTTGCGGTCTTCAGTACGATCAGAAACTGTTTACGTGTGCTTCAGGTATTCTCATGAAGGGGAAGCAGGATGAACTTCTAGTTGTGCCGAACCCTAAGGGTCCATGTACCTAATTATGGAAGACTTGGGCCTTAAAGTACTTCCTATATAAGGACTTTTGGGTCTAAGTATATAATAATAAGGTACATGGACCCTTAGGGGAAGCGCTCCGAATTGGCGTTTCAGGCCTTCCGGCAATCCGGGAAGGGTCTGGGCCCTGGGGTAGTTTGGGGTTTAGGGTTTACGGTTTAGGATGGGGTTTGTTTGTAGGGGGGTCCTGCTGTGGTTTGGAGAAGGGTGGGCATGGAGGGATGCTTTATCAAGTGGCTGACAGATCCTCAGAAAGGGCTGCCAGAACTGCAGCTCAAGTTGACCTGACCGCGTTGGCGTTATGACTACAACATTGGGGGTGGGTGGCTGTCTGAGTACACAACCCAAACCCCAAACCCTCAATCGGCCGCCTCAACCCTTCAGGCGTTCCAGAAAACTATACCTGGGTTGAGGGGCAAGGGTTTCGAGTACAGCAGGCCATTGAGCTGTCCTCTGGTCCTTGGCCACTCCAGCCGGCCGGGTAGCTCTTGCATGAAGTCATCACTACTAGGCATAAAAATGCAGCTGTCGGGTGTGTTGCTAGAAAAGGGTGCGGTCTAATCAGGCCTGGTGGGCTTTTAGGGTTTAGGATTTAGGGTTCATGGACTGTTTCAAGAAGCCTTTTCGCAGCTAGTTCTTCAGGCATGTAGAGAAGTTTTGACGTGTTGGCTGTCCGATATGCTCATGGTTCGGGGTGTAGGGTTTAGGGTTCAGGGTTTGGGGCACATTTTTAGGAGGGATCGTAGCCTGTGGCTAAAGAGGTCCACGAGGAGAAGGAGCAGATCATCCGCCTTTGGTACCACGAGTGCTGTCGCGTCTTCATGGACCGCTTGATCAACTACGAGGCATCTGGTTTAGGGTTTAGGGTTTAGGGTTTAGGGTTTAGGGTTTAGGGTTTAGTATCAACTACGAGGCGTCTGCCGAATGGCCCGAGGGAGCCCAGTATCCCCTTGATTCTAGCGTTTAGGGTTAGGGTTTTGGGTTTTGGGGTTTGTGGTTTAGGGTTAAGGGGTTGAAGGGTTCAAGGTGTAGGGTTTAGAGACTTAGTTTGTTTTTGTTGTTTTATGAAAAGGGGGGGCCGGGGTCCGGCTGGGTCCGGCTGCCCCGAGGGTGTTTTCTTTCGGCTGCAAGTAGGGAAAGCCCCAAGGAAATGAGGGCTGGATTACAGTTTTGTCTACCACGCCTCTGTCGCTGCATCTCTCTCGCTCTCTCTTTCTCTCTCTCTCCCTGCACTTCTCTCTCTGCTCTGCTCTCAGGTCTCTCTACTCTCTCTCTCTCACCCTCTTTTCTCTCCCTCTCTCTCTTTCCTCTCTGGCTCCTCTTTTTTGTCTCTCTCTCTCTCTCTCTGTCTCTGTCGCTCCTTCGAATCTGCTGCCAGGACCGCGAGAAGCTTCGCAGCCTGCTTGACACGGCCATGGACAACGGCCTCCAGGCTCCCAGCGGTCAGCTGGATCCCCGTAAAAATCCTTTGGGTGTCCTTGTTCTTCCTAGGGTATTGAGGAACCCTTGGGACCCTAAACCCCAACCCCCTTGAACCCCCAAACCCCCTAGACCCTAAACCCCCCTAACACATCCTGGCTTTTTAGGGGCCGGCCCAGCGCTAACGCATACGCCCCCCCCCCCCCCCCCCCCCCCCCCCCCCCCTAAACGCAGCCGCTGCAGCCCGAAAGCCGAGGGTTTAGGGCCTTAGGGCTTGAGGGCCTAAGGTTCGTAGGGGTTTAGGGTTTAGGGTTTAGGGTTTAGGGTTTAGGGTTTAGGGTTTAGGGTTTAGGGTTTAGGGTTTGGGGAAGCAAGCCCCTAAAGCCAACCCTGAACCTCTCCCCTGGCGCCCTGACACCTTGATACTCCGAAACGCTTGGGTCTTGAGTAGAGGGTTTTAGGGTTTAGGGTTTAGGGTTTAGGGTTTAGGGTTTAGGGTTTAGGGTTTAGGGTTTAGGGCTTAAGGTTTAGGGTTTAAGGTTTAGGGACTTCGGTGGTTAGGGATATAGGGGTTTAGGATCTTCGGGTTCAGGGTCTTTACGGATCCATGTGGGGTTTCCCCCCACAATGGTTGTGGAACAAGAATCCGCCAGGTCCGCAGCAAAGAGCTCCATGGCAGATTCAGAGTCCTCGGTTCTTTGCAACCCTAAACCCTAAACCCTAAACCCTAAATAAACCCTAAACCCTAAACCCTAGACCATTGCAATCCCTACACACGCAAAAGGCCTAAACCCTCCGAAGCTCGCCCCGATCCTGCTCTTGGAAACCCTACACCCTATCAACCCTCAACCCCATAATCCCCTAGATCCCTAACCCCTGAAGTCCTGGACCCTAATTAGGCCCACAACCGGGTTTAGGGTTTAGGGTTTAGGGTTTAGGGTTTAAGGTTTAAGGTTTACAGTCAATCCCGAACACCCTAAACCCTCAACTAAACCCTCTGGGTGGTGAGGTGAATGTTTGTTTCTATGTGGACTTCTCAGTGTCCGTATAGGCGTTGAGGATGCCCAGCACAAGAAGCGGCAGAAGGAAAATCTCACATCCGAACCCTCCAAGAGAAACACCCAACCCCCCCCCCCCCCCCCCCCACTACTAGACCCTCGACCCACGACCCCAAAACCCCAAACCCGAAAACCCGAAGCCCTAAACCCTAAGCCCGAAACCTTATCCCCCGAACCCTAAGCCCTAAATCCTAAACCCTAAACTCTAAACCCTAAACCCCAAACCCGAAACCCTTGCAACCTGAGGATTGATGGCGGCGACCCCGACTTTGTCTTCGCAGCCCTGGACCTGACGCTCTCCTGGCAGTAGCTGACCCTCATCCATAAGCCCCCCACCCTGAACCCTAAAGCCTGAACCCTGAACCCTAAATCCCGAACCCTAGCCCTAAACCCTAAATCCTAAACCCTAAACCCTAAACTCTGTTTTAGAATTCATAAGGTTGGGGACCTACGGCCCTTTTGGCCGTTCCGTAGCCCGGCTCAAGTAGCCCGAAGACCTTGTATTCTAGCCCTAAGGGTCTATGTACCTAAATGGGTAATACTTGGGTTTCGGGTTTAGGGTTTAGGGTTTAGGGTTTAGGGTTTACGGTCTAGGGTTGCTTTGGGGCTCAAGTACTCAAGAATAAGGTACATGGGCCCTTAGGGTAAGGCCTTTGGGTCCAAAAGGGCCCTAGGCTGAGAGTCCTTGGAGCCTTTTATAGGGCAGGAGACATCGGCTACCAAACCCTAAACCCTAAACCCCAAACCCCTAAACCCTAAACCCCTAAACCCCTAAACCCTAAACCCCTATGAACAAATTCTTCCGAAAGCCGAGGACGAACCCTGAAGCCGAGGATGCGGTGCGGCCCGGCAGGATTTGAAGGCTTAGGAGGGTGTAGGACTTTGGGTTTGTGGTTTAGGCTTTTGGGATTGTTTAGGGTTTTGTAGGGTTTTGGGGTTCGGGGCTTGGGTTTTTTGGTGTTATTGGGGGGGTTTAGAGGTTTTTTGGGTTTTAGGGGTTTGTTCATTTTTTTTCGTGGGGGAGGGGGGCGGGGGGTTGGGACGAAACAACATAACGAGGAGAAAATCAGGTACAATAATCACCTAAGCCCTACACCCTAAACCCTAAACGCAGGCTCGGCTCGCCAAGTTGAATGCTGACAAGGTTTATAATACAAGGGGCATTCAAGGGTAGAGGGTTTGGAGTTTGGGGTTTGCGGTTTAGGATTTAGGAGTGCAATGGCTTTCTTTTTTTTTTTGGGGGGGGGGGAGGAACCTCCACACCTGCCACCTAACCTCAGAGATTGGCCATCTCTGCCCTGTGCTTCTGAAGCAGAGGTCAGGCGGAAAGCTTCTGCCAAGGCAACTTTTGCGTTCTAAACCCTAAACCCTGCACCCTAAAACCCTAAAGACCTAAACCTGAAAACCCTCAACCCCAAAGCCCTAAAACCTCTTTTTGTTCGCTTCTCTTGGGGTACTGATCTGGTTTGCGTTTTGGGCTGTTAGGTTTAGGGTTGAGGGTTGAGGGTTTAGGGTTTAGGGTTTCGGGTTTTGGGTTTTGGGGCTTTGGGGCGAACTCATTGGGCAGCTCAGGTACGACTACATGCAGGATCGCAAAGGCTGGGACGGGCTTCTGGGCCCCAACCCCTAGACAGTTTAGGGTTTAGGGCTTAGGGCTTAGGGCTTAGGGTTTAGGGTTTAGGGTTGGCCCAAACCCTGGGTTTGGGGTGTACCTAATCGTACACCCCGAGGGTTTAAAGCACCAGGAAGAAGCGATGTGGCCCACACGCCTACATCAACCTCTGACCATTGCCTAAAAGCCTGAACCCTGAAGCCTGTTAACTGACCCTAAATCCTACAACACTAAACCCCTATACAAACCCTAAGCCCTAACCCCCTACACCCTTAGAGCGGCTTGGCAGTACTGGCAACCCTCTCAATGCCCTTTCTCTTTTGTTGCTTGCTGGCTTGCCTCCCCTCAACTCTACACCCCTACACCCCAAATCCTAAACCCTATCAGCAACAAACCCCAAACCCTAAAGCCCATCAGCCCGATCAGCCCGAAACCCTAAACTCTATCAGCCCGAAACCCGAAACCATAAACCCTCAACCCTGAACCATAAACCCTTATCCCAAAACCTAAACCCTAAACCCTAAGCCCTGGAGGCCTCAAAGCCTTCATGGAGCAGAAGAACGAGGACGCCTTCACTTTTCGGGCCTGGCATGTCGGTGTCGTGGAATTTGTGGTTTAGGGTTTAGGGTTTAGGGTTCGGGTTTAGGTTTAGGGTTTAGGGTTTCGGGTTTAGGGTTTAGGGTTCAGGGTTTAGGCGGTGTTTAGGGTCTAGAGAGCGTGTAGCAGCAAAAATGCGGCAGGGGCCGCACGCCTCTGCGGGAAGAAGAAGCCATAGCAGCCTAAACCCTACAAAGCCTACACTCCATATTCTAGGGTTTAGGTTAAGGGTTTGCAGGGTTTATATAGGGTTTTGGATCCTCAAAGGTTTAATTAGGGTTCATAGGGCCTATAAACCCTAACTCATAACCCCTAACCCCTAAATCCCAAACAGCCCACCCTTACAAGGTGGTGCCCCCCCTTCCTATACTAACCATAGTAAGTATAGTTAAGGGACTTATAGCCTAAGGTTGGGATCCTTATTTCCCAATTTAGGGTTCTTAATATCTCTGCTTATAAATAGGGGGAACCTCCTAAACCCTAAACCCTAAACCCTAAACCCTTATAGAGCAGGACTACAACCAAATGTTCAAGAAGTCACCCATGTCCTTGGTGATGTTCAAGGAGGCGCCCCGGTGCGAGGGCTTTAAGCCTTCTTTGGCAATTTGTGCTGGGGGGGTTTTAGGGTTTAGGGTTTAGGGCTTGGGGTTTAGGGTGTAGGGCTTGGGGTTTTGATTAGGGTTTAGGGTTTAGGGTTTAGGGCTTGGGGTTTTAGGGTTTAGGGTGTGGGGTTTAGGGTTTCGGAAATTTCGGGCTTGGGGTTTTGGGGTTCTGGCTTAGGCTTGAGGCCCAACCTGAGAGCGGGGGGCCGTGTGCCCTGAACCCTCAAAGCCCCAAACCCTCAATCTTAAGCCCAGCTATGAACCCTACACCTGAACCCTACACCCTAAACCCTAAACCGTAAACCCGAAACCCGAAACCCGAAACCCGAAACCCGAAACCCTAAACCCTAAACCCTAAACCCTAAACCCTAAACCCTAAACCCTAAACCCTAAACCCTAAACCGAGCCTACTGCGACCTTTGGGGAGGCAGTGGAGATCTGCTGCAAGATCTTGCGCATCCTCAAGCAGCCGCAGGAGAGTTGGACCATAAACCTAAACCCCATCAACTCGAAGGGGTTTAGGGTTTAGGGTTTAGGGTTGGGGGTTGGGGTTTGGGGTTTAGGGTTTAGGTTTGGGATTTGGGGTTTTGTGTTTCGGGTTTAGGGTTTAGGGTTTGGGGTTTGGGGTTTGGGGTTTGGGGTTTTGTGTTTTGTGCTTCGGAGGTGTCATGTGGGGCGGGTGGGTTTAGGGTTTAGGCTTCCTTCACATCTTTGGAGCCTAGCAAGGTGGCAAGGTGTTGGTTCAGCCAAAGCGCGCCTGGGGATGGGGAGGGCTTGTGATGCGACTTCAGCAACCCCCCTCGCGGCTCTGGCTGCACGGGCCTTACTTACACGTGGAGGCTAAGAAAGGACTTTGGAGTTGAACCAAGCTTCTTTGGGCTTGGGGTCGATCAGCCCCAACTTTACCTACAATTACTCTTTGCCAAATCGAGCGCATGAACTGCATTCGTACAAGTCTTCTTGGAGGTTCATGGGAACTTATAACCACAGTTATAAGTCTACTTCTAACCTACTTAGGGGACTTAGGGGGCTTATAAGTACCGTTATAAGTAGGGTTATAAGTACCAGGAACCTCCAAGTTCTCGTCACTGGAGCAAGGACCAACATGCTCTGACCTACCGGTCAGCATATGCTTCAACCCTAAACCCTAAACCCTAAACCCTAAACCCTAAACCCTAAACCCTAAACCCTAAACCCTAAACCCCAAACCCTAAACCCTAAACCCCCTGAACCCGGGACTTCAGCGCGCTTGTTTCATCTTAATTACTCCTAGGCAGCACGTGCAACCCCAAATTTCAAAAGGGTATAGGGTCTAGGGTCGCAAGCCCGAAGCCCTTTCACTCCTCTACAGCCCATACCTAAGACCCTTGACCCACTTCCCTGTAGGCTCGAGAAACTTGTAACCCTACACCTTAAAACCCAAAGCCCTGCAATTAAGCCTTAATTATACCCTAATTATAAACCTAAACCCATTCAGAAACCCCAGACCCTAGGCACAAAAAAACTGCAACCCAAAACCCTTCTAACACCCCAAGCCGCCAGGGGAATGCCTTGCTCATCGGCGTGGGCGGCTCTGGGCGCCACTGTCAGACTCGTTTGGCCTCGTACCTGGCTTTCTACAAGTGCTTCTCCATCGAGATCACCAAGCAGCAGCTGAGAAGCGTTTCTGAGGGTTGAGGGTCATCAGAAACCGGACTCGCACGTCCGATGCTCAGGATTTGGGGTTTAGGGTTTGGGGTTTGGGGTTTAGAGATGTAAAAAGTACTAAAAACCTTCAGGTGTGCACATATCTGCCGTCGACCACTGATTCAAGCGTCTACAGTCACTAAACCCTAAACTCTAGACCCTATACAGCCGGGAACCCTAACACCCTAAACCCGAAACCCTAGACCCGAAACCGTACCTCCTTTTTGGGCTGGAGTCCCAGGTGTCGGCCAGATCTTTCGCTGCTACGTACCTATCTCCAGGGTTTGGTTGACCCTTAGCCTAAACCCTAAGCCCTAAACCCTTAACCCTACACACTTGGGATGTTCCCCCTTGTACAAACAGTCCTTAATTGGGATTGTAATCGGGGTACTTTAATCCTTATTAGGGACTGTTAGTATACGGGGGAACGCCCCAACTACACACCTTATAAGCCCCAAAGAAGTGTTTCGGGTTCAGGGCCTAAAAACCCTGAACCTAAGCCTCCAAAGAACGAAAATGAGGTGGCAGAGGTTTATAGCGTCACGGGTTTGGTTTATCGAGTCGAGCTTGTAGAGTGCTAGATTCGTTTGAGGGGGCTTTTTCTTCCGCGAAACGGGAGGGTCATGACGCTGCGGCTGCGACTGAGTAGAAGCTACTCCTCCATGGGCTTCTTGTGGAGACGGCCCATGATGCTACTGATGTCCCCTTTGCTGCGGGCCTTGGGGGGGTCTTGTTTGCAAAACGGAAGCGTTCCTAGGTGGGATAAGGGGGACCCTTAAACGGGACCCCCTTCTTAACCATCTTCTGGCTCTCTTAACAAGGGTCCTTATTCAGAGGGTCTATATCCCCAAGGGTCCCCCGAATCCTATCCCCTAAGCGTCATGATGCTGCTGATGCTTCTCCTCCATGAGGGCTTTCTGGGGATTTTTGTCTTGGAACGGAGACAGCCGTGGTGCTGCTGATGTGGCTTTGCTGTGGGCCCTTGGGGATATGTGTTTACAGTGCGAAGGACGGAGTGCAGGCCCTTGGAAAATTCTGCCCTCAGCTTTTGTGGATCAGAGCGCTTTTGTAGCAGTGCAGCATTGTTAGTGCCACTATGGTTCAGTGCATCGCAAAGAAGTGGGATGGCAACAGGTGCACCCTACAGGCGAAGCCTGGCCAAAGGCTGTGTGGAAACCACATGCGAGGAACCAGGTATGGCCTGATACCTGAGGAAGAGCAGCAGGAACCTCAGCATGTGGAGGACATACCAGCAGATGGTGGCAAAGTGCCAGCAGGCAGCCAAGAGCAGCAAATGCTCCTTGAGCAGGCTGGGAGGTATGACATTGACATGTTCTTGCTTCCAGCAAGCTTGGAGGCTGTAGCCTCAATATCCACTTTCTGGGTCTCAACCCACCTCTCAAACTCTTCAGTGAGAGGCCAGGGTTTCTGCAGCTCTTCCACCACCCATGGCCATGTTTTTGGATCTCCCTGACAACTGTGAGGTGCAGGACTTCAAAGCCAGAGTTTGTCAGCTCTTGCACGACTCTGGTGTTGAGATCGAGTTCATCCAAAAGGAGCTGTCCTGTGCGATTGAGAAGCAAGTTTTTGCCGGCGCGCGGAACATTGGAACAGACCCAGCCCAACCAAGGCCAGATGCAAAGGTTTGCTTCCAAGGTGCAATCCTGGAGCTTCCTCATGGCCAACATTGGGTTCGTGTCTGGCCACTTCGCAAGGCAAATCAACAATGGTGTCTCTTGCCAAGACAACCCAGCCAGGTATGTGCCCCCACCCATGCCAGTGCCACAAGCCGGCATGGCAGATGCACCCGAAATTGCTGCAGAGGACCTGCTTCTTGTCTGAATATGAGACTGCAATGACTCTGCCGATGTCCCATTTTTACAAAGCAGCAGGGTCATGATGCTGCTGATGCTGCTCCTCCATGGGGGCCTTTTGGGGTTGTTTGTATTGAATGGCGAGACGCCGGTGATGTTGCTGTTGATGTCCTTTTGCTGTGGGCCTCGAGGGCATTTGGAAACAAAACGGGAGGGTCGTGAGGTTGCTGTCTTAACAAAGACGGCCATGATGCTGCTGATTTCTCCGTTGCAGCGGAACATGCGGTGTTCGTATACAAAACGGAAAGGGTTTTGTCTTGACAGGAGACGGCCGTGATGCTGCTGATGTGCCTGCTTATTGGTTTGGGTGTGTGTGGGGGGGAAGGTGGGAAGGTGTTGGAACAATTTACACCTCAGCACATTGAAAAGCGTTGGAGAAGGCTCATTTAAAACGTGTGATGTTCGGGGAATCAGGTAGGGTTTCGGCTTTAAAGGTTTAGTGTTTAGGGTGTTGGGGTTTCGGCAGCGTTTCATGTTTCAAGCGTTCTTTTCCAAGTCTCATGCTCACGACCCGAATGAACCTTAAGCCCTAAACCCTAAACCCTAAACCCTAAACCCTAAACCCTAAACCCTAAACCCTAAACCCTAAACCCTAAACCCTAAGCCCTAAGCCCTAAGCCCTAAGCCCTAAACCCTAAACCCTAAACCCTAAACCCTAAACCCTAAACCCTAAACTAAACCCTAAACCCTAAACCCTGAACCCAAAGCATGCGCAGGTACAAGCACCAGGCGTTCTTGGAGGACATGAAGCGACTCTACGAGCTAACGGGCGTGAAGAACCAGAAGCTGACTTTCCTCTTCTCGGCGACCTGGCAGGGTTTAGGGTTTAGGGTTTATGGTTTAGGGTTTAGGGTTTAGGGTAGTTTAGGGTTTAGGACATTTTTTGGGGTTTGGGGCGGCATCGAAGTATTCGAGTCTCAGGCCAATGAGTCCCCTCAACGCTGAACCCCCAACCTTAACCTGAAACCCTCCAGCCCAAGCCCTAAGCCCCATACCTCAAACCCTCTAAGCCCTGTAAGAACTGGAGCCCGAATTCCTTCAGGCTTTGGTCTGTGGGTTCTCCAAAATTCCCCCCAGTAAGAACTACGGTTTGGGGGTATAGGGTGTATATAACTATAAGACCCAAAATAGGCCCTTATCCCCTTTTTTTAAGGTTTAGGTTCCCTTACAGCTCTCTTTAAACCAAAAAGGACACCCTTAGTATTCCTGGGTCTAGAGAGGTAAGACCCAGGCCTAAACCCCGAAAACCAGGACACCGAGATTGTCGAGGAGAGCTTCCTGGAAGATGTCGCCAACATGCTGTCGAGCGGTGAGGTGCCAAAACACCTTTTGCTGATGCTACCCCGTCCTTCCCCAACCCTAGACCCTAGACCCTGCACCCTAAACCCTCAACCCTAAACCCTCAACCCTAAACCCTAAACCCCAAACCCTAAACCCTAAACCCTAAACCGCAGGTGCCGAATCTCTTCACCAGTGACGAGCGCCTCAGCCTTCAAGTAGCCACATTCGCCTCCTTGGGGGTGTTGGGGTGGCCAGCAGGTGGTATTAGGGTTCAGGGTTCAGGGTTTCGGGTTTAGGGTTTAATTAGGGTTTAGGGTTTAGGGTTTAGGGTTTAGGGGTACCCTAGAACCCCTAAAGCCCTAAATTGTTAACACCCCTAAGACTCCTAAAGCTCCTAAAACCCTCAAAACCCTCAACCATAAACCCGATTCCTAATTCTTCAAAGGCTGGGGACCATTCGCAGCTCCTTGGAGAAGGCGGCGAAGGAGCCTTCTCGGCCCTCGGGTTCATAGGGTTTGGGGATTTGGGTTTACGGTTTCGGGTTTACGGTTTGGGGTTTAGGGTATGGGGTTTAGGGTTTGGGGTTTAGGGTTTTGGGGTTTAGGGTTCTGATGGCTGTTCACTAGTCTAGACAAGTATATGCATCGTCCGCCTAAACCTGAAACCCTCAACGATCTCGGGGTCTTTAGTATGGTGTACAGGGTTTGGAAATTCCGGTTTGGGGTGAAGGGTGTAGGTTGCCCGCTTAAGGGCTCAGGGTTTAGCGTTTCCGCTTGAAGTTTGGAGTTTTGCTTGTCGGTTTTGACGTATGTGGTTGCGGGTTCTAACGGGGTTTGGCGTTTAGTGCACTAAACCCTAAACCCTAAACTCTTAACTGGATTAGTTCAAGGTCCGTGCAAGAGTTTCGGGTTTCAGGGCTTTAAGGTTTGAGGGTCCCGGGGTTTCAGGAGGTTAGAACCTCCGTGGCTTCAGAATTTGTTTTTTACATGCGCCCAAGTAATTGCCCCTAAACCCTACACCCGAAACCCTAACCCCAAACCCTAAACCCTAAACCCTAGACCCTAAACCCTAAACCCCTAAACCCTAAGCCCTAAACCCTCACCAAGGGCTGCCAGGGTAGCTTAATGAAGTATTGGAGCATCTTAGGGCTGGGCTTTACGGTCTTCGGCGGTTTTAGGGGTTCGGGTGGGCTATTTTGGGTTCAGGGTTTAGGGCTTTTGGGGTTTAGAGTTTAGGGTTAGGGTTTTGGGGGTTTTGGGGTCTTAGGGCTTACCCTAAGGGTCCATGTACTTCATTATTATGTACTTGGGCCCTAAAGTCCCTAAATAGGAGATACTTTAAGGCCCAAGTATTCCCTATTTAGGTACATGGACCCTTAGGGCTTAGGGTGTAGGCGTTTAAGGTGTACGGCTTACGGGGCAGGAGCAAAAGATCAACCAGACGGCAGAAGCCATGTACGAGTTCTTTATCTCGCGGGTGCGCGAGAACTTGCACATCGCCTCCCGGCAGAGGATTTAACACCTCAGCTGTAAATAGGGTTTAGGGTTTTGGGCTTTTTGGGCTTAGGGTTCTGGTTTCACGGTTTTAGGGTAGGGTTTAGGGTTTAAGGTTTACGGTGCCTTTTTCACTGATTTTGCAGTGGTATTGGAAAGGCTATGCTGGAAGTATCCTCGGCCATTTTAGCTTACTTCATCAAGATTTCTGGTTTCGGTGTGCAGGTTTGTTTCGGGTTTAGGGTCCCCCCCCCCCCCCTAGTGGTCTTATCAGTTCTTTTCAGTGCCCAAGCAACGGCTTCTGCAGCCCTGCCCGGGGCAGTTGAGGGGGTGGGAGGAAAGCCAGACTCGGAGTTTAGGGTTACCAGTAGGGCCGTAGAGGGCGCTTGCCTAGAATGGTACCGGTAAGTTTCTTGCCCTACACCCTAAGCCCAAAGCCACAACTCAGCTCCCTTCTGAGAAGGTGTAGATGCGGTTCCCTGAAGTATGGCTCCTTTCTTGGTTTTGCTTGGCTACCTGTCTATATGAGCTTCATGAAACCCAAAAACATAGGCCACACTTCAGGGTTTAGGTTTGGGTTTCAGGGATTCGGGTGTATTGTTGGGTTTAGGGTTTAGGGCTTAGGGTTTAGGATTTAGGATTTAGTGTTTAGGGTTAGGGTTTAGGGTTTAGGCTTTAGGGCTTTCCCATCCAGGTTTTCTGCCTTTCCTACATTGGCAACAACTTCCGCGACTACTGCCGCAGCTCGGACAAGCCTTCAGAACCCAAACCCCCCAACCCCCCAACCCCCCAAACCCCAAACTACAAACGCTGTAGATCCTATAAACCCTGTAAACCCTATACACCCTATAGACCCTATCAACCCTATTTAAAACCCTATAAAGCCTATAAACCTACAGAAACACTATCAACCCCTTAAACCCTATAACGCCCTGTAACGCTCTATAAAGCCCTGAACCCCAGACCCTTTGTTGGGATCTGGGCAGCCCCTTTCGGCCCTGCACGGATTTTGCTTGGACGCCCAAACCTTCGACCCTAAACCCTCAAACCGCAAATCCATATAAACCCTAAACCTAAGCCCCAGAGTAGGCCCTGATTCCCCAGTCAAGCAACAGGGCACCCTTTTTATTCCTAGGTTGCTCTCGAAAATCCTTCCTAAGACCCTAAGGCCCTAAACCCCCATCAGGGATAGGAATTCAGGGGTCAGGGTTTGGGGGCGTTTCGGGTTGCAGGGTTTGCAGGGTTTGGGGTTTCGGGTTTAGGGTTTAGGGGCCTTCCCCCAACCCAGAACCCTAAACCCGAGGTAAGCTTCAACCTGTTGCAGGTACGGCTAGAAAAAGCTTCGAGAACCCTGGCACCACGGATCCCCTAGAACTCTGGAACACTAAGATCAGAACCCGACCCCGGCACCCCTCAACCATAATGAACCCTAAATACCTAAACCCTAAACCCTCAACCTTAAACCCTAAGCCCCAAACCCCTAAACCCCTAAACCCTAAACCCTCAACCTCAAACCCTAAGCCCCAAACCCCTACACCCCCAAACCCTAAACCCTCAACCTCAAACCCTAAGCCCCAAACCCCTACACCCCCAAACCCTAAACCCCAAACCTCAAACCCTAAGCCCCAAACCCCTACACCCCCAAACCCTAAACCCTAAACCCCAAACCCTAAACCCTAAACCCTAAACCCCAAACCCCTAAACCCCAAACCCTGGAGGCATGTACCCCTCCTTGGTCAGCTGCACCACAGCCATTTGGCTGCTGCCCTGGCCTGCTGAGGCTCTGTGATCTCGGGGTGTGCGGTCTTACCCTAAACCCTAAACCCTAAACCCTAAACCCTAAACCCTAAACCCTAAACCCTAAACCCTTGTGGTATAAGGGTTGAGGTTGAGTTGGGTATGTAGCCTTGGTTCAGGGCGTAGGGTTCTCGGTTAAGGAGCTTAAGGGTTGTAGGTTTTCGTACATCAGGGGGCATTAAATAGTTGACCCCTGCCCCCTCCCACAGCCCCCTCCCCCCCCCCACCCAGAATGCAGATCAATGGATACAAGCTTATACTCCATCTCGCTCTTTTGCGCGTCGGGACACACAGATGCTGGACATTGGACAGGGCAAGGTGGCAAAGACATTCGCCCGCCGATTTCGGGGCGCCAGGCTTGGCACGGCAGCTCGCCCTTCTTCCTGGAGGAGTTTAGGGTTTAGGGTTTAGGGTTTATGGTTAAGGGCTAAGGGTTTAGGGAGCTCTTCACTGTCCATGGCGACTCTTGCCCGAGACCTGCCAGAGGAGGTGCTCTCCTCCGGCGCAACCACTCGGTTGGCATGTCAAGCTGAGGAACCCAGTTCCGTAGTTCTAAGTAGAAGGACCCTAATCTAGGCAAAAAGGGTCGCAACTTCGGGTACAAGTCCCTGAACAATAGTTGGTACAGTAAGGGGGCCCCTCCTTGTAGTAAGTATGTCATCTACTGCGTATGTGAATATATTCCATGTATGAATATATATATATATATATATATATATATATATTGATTTAAAGACAAACAAATTTGCATAGTATGTAAATACATTCAATGTATATATATATATATAGCTAAACACATGGGAAGTCTGTTGATTGCAAAATGGGGCCCCGGCTTGCCAGAGCATTGGGGTCTGAAGCTTGAAGATCCGGGCGCCACTGGTGTCTTTTGTGTTGCCAGGCTCCAAACAACAATGCTTTGGCTTTGGGGGGTTTAGGGTTTAGGGAAAGTAAATAGGGTTTTGGGTTTAGGGTTTGGGGTTTAGGGTTTGGGGTTTAGGGTTTAGGGTTTAGGGTTTAGGGTTTAGGGTTTAGGCAAAGTGTTTTTCATCCCAGGTTTCCATATGCAGTTCAGCTGGGAAGCCCCGAAACTGAAACGCATTTCCCCACCACATCCCCAAACCCTAAAAAGGCCCTAAAGTCAAATATAATATAGATAGATATATAGATATAATCCCCAAACCCAAAAGAGGCCCTGAAGTCCATAAGCTACATAATCCCAAACCACCCGACAGATGCTTTAAAGTCTATAATCTGTTTAAGCCCCAAACCCCCCCCATCTCCAAAACCCCTAAGCCCAAACGCCAAAGCCCCAAACCCCAAGCCCCACGCGTCAAAACCCTAAGCCTAAACCCTATAACCCTTAAAAAGCCGTATAAAGCCGAACAACATGTCCTTATAAACCCTAGAAACCCGAAACAAAAACTGCGTAGACCCTATAAACCTTAAATCCGAAAACAAATAAGCCCTAGCTCATATATAATGCAGACCCCTAAGAATGAACACCCTAAACCCTCAATCATATAGAAAAAGCACGTCTGAACCCGGAAAATGGCACACACACACACACACACACACACACTACCCGCCAGGCACTGACGGAGGTGGCCCTGAAGTTCCTCACGGAAGGCTCCGGACGAGTTGAGAGATTCAAAGGGCCCCTAAACCCCGAACCCTAAACCCTAAACCCTAACCCTACCTAAACCCTAAACCCTAAACCCTTAACCCTAAACCCTAAACCCTAAACCCTAAACCCTAAACCCGAGACCCTGAACCCTAAACCCTACCTCTTAATCCTGGCGGACAGAAATTTCTGTCCTTATGGTTTTTTCTGGTTTTTTGCGTGCAAAAGCGAGGTGTTGGTGTTCTATTGGGATCGGGGAATACGATCAAAGCGGCTGGATTTTCGGAGTTCAGGGGAACCTTCCCGAGCCCTGTGCAGAGTCTTGTGCACCAAAGAATAGGTGACCTGAGCAGAACACAAAAAAGCGTACTCTGAACCCAACGTTTTTCCAACATAATGTTGGGTTTTGTTGGGTTTTTTTTTTTGGGGGGGGGTAGCCCAAAAAAACGTAAACCGTACCGAATCCGTACTTTGTTGGAAAAATGTTGGGAAAATGTTGGGAAAAAAGCGTACCCAAAACCCAACGCAAACCCAACAAGAGGACACTTTTTCTGAAAAGGCCACTTTTTCTGCAGAATTGTGTGGGTGTCTGGTTTCCACCAGGAAATAGGTTTCTGACCATCATTAAAGCGGACGGATTTTTTGCGCGGCTGGATTTTTCCGGCCTCTTCAATAGGACAGTTTTTTATGGAACGGGGGATTGACAGGTAAACCCTAAGCAGGTGAGCTGGAGGAACATCTGCGGGCGCCCGTGGCCGAGATTTTCGGATCGGCGCACACGTCGCCTGGCTGGCTCGGGGGTATAAGACTAGGACCCAGAGTAGGCCCGTCTTCCCTTTTTAACAGCCCCATTATAAACCAAGTAGGGCACCGTTCTTGTTGTTCCTAGGTTACTCCTGGGCCTCGACGTCCATATTCTCCTCAAAGCGACACCTCCAAAGTCAACATCTCATTTTCTCAGTAAAATTATATGGGTAGCTCTCTAAATTTGGGCTTTTTTGTTGGGTCCCTACCAGGGTGCCTTATACAGGGACCTAGTAAAGGGACCCCAATTTAGGGAAACTGCCCATAAAACCTCAATCCGAAGCCCTAAACTCTAGACTCTAAACCCTAAACCCTAAACTCTCAACCCAAATCCAATACCCTGTTGCTGGGTTTTCTCAAGCCCGCGCCCCAAGCCTTCGGAGACCCTTCTTGCAACTCTCTGGATCTTCTACGTATACATGAACCAAGATGATTTCTGGGACAAGGTTGATACGGTTCAGGGTCTGTGTCTTACTTCGTTTAGCCATCTGTTCTTGGAAGGAGCGGGGTAGCACGACTTTCCCCCCTAAACCCTAAAAGCGCCCTGCATGTTGGTCCGCAAGGAGGAGATCGGTCCAGGGAGTTTAGGGAGTTGAAGGTCCAGGGTTTGTGGGACATGACCGAGAGAACCTAAATCTTAGAAGACTCCACGAGCGAACGGACAGACAGAAATGCATACGTCACAGTACTCTCAACCCTGACGATGTCAAGGACGGTCATGCGCTTCTCCACCCGTATTCACCAGGAATCCCGGCCTCTTTTTGTTCACCCTAAACCTAAATGGGGCTTCCGAAAATAGGGGTACCCTTTTCGGGGGTCCCTTTAAGGGGATTCTAGTCTGTTAGGGTATCAAAGGGGTACCTCTATGTTCGGAAAACCCCCAAATCCTGGACCCTAAGCCCTTGATAACTTTGACAGTCTTTACATCATGGGCAGTCACCTTATCGGCGTAGGGCGCAAGATGTTGATAGCCCTGAAGCCCTGAACCCTGAAACCCTCAAACCCCGAAAAGGCCCTTCAAAGCAGGCCCAGCACCCTCAGAATATATATCCTCAGACCCATGCTTCTAAACCTTCTGGGTTTTAGGGCTTCGGAAGTTCGGGAGGTTTTCGGTGTTGGGTTGTTGGGCTTCAGGCTGTTTTGGGTTAGGGGGGGGGGGGGGTAGAAAAATACATATATGTAGATACACACACATATACATATATATATATATATACATATATAGATAGCTAGATAGGGCTTTGTGGGGTTCTCTTATAGCCGCTGAACCCTTATCAACTCTCAGCCCTAAACTGTAATGTCGAAGCTTATCAGTCATTAGGATCCAGGGGGTGCACTAGGCCTATGTTGCCCAAGGGCTGGCAAGTGTCACCTCTCCCCCTCTCTGGATCCCTCTGAGTTATAGTTTAAGGGTATCTAGACCTTACGAGAGTAGCCCAGTGGTAGCCTTTTCCGTTTGTTTTGGTTCAAGGTGCCGTTGTAAAGCAAAGCAACCCATAAAAGGGTGCCCTCATTAGAAGATGGTTGCTGGGCTGCCCAGGTTTAGGGTTGAGAGTTTGGGTTTGCTGGTGAAACGGGTCTCTCTGCGCTGAACCCTCAAACACTAAACCCTCTCCCCGCAACCTCATTCCCCCAAAGCCCAGGCACCACCCTTCACTGTTGGGGTCCTTAACACCCGTTTTAGGGTTCATGGGGTTTAGGGTTTGGGGTTGATTGCCCTAAGCAAACCCTCGGCCCAAACATGAAACCCTAAACCCGAGGGGTTGAGGGTCTCCTGAACCCTAGGGTTGAGGGTCTCCTAACCCCAAAATCCGAGTACCTCAACACGGAAGGAGCAGAAGCGCATGAACTATGTGACGCCAACCAACTACCTGGAGTTGGTACAGGGCTACATGGGCATGCTCAAGGAAGCGGCGGCAGGGTTCACGGCTCAGGTGCAGGGTTTAGGGCTTAGGGTTGGTGTACGTTTTAGGGTTTAGGGCTCAGGCTGAGGGTTTGGGGCTTCTAAGGACCCAAAGAGAGGGGCCCAGCTACTTTACAGCTCGAAGTTTTTGCACATGAAATGGTCAGCTCTCTTCATCACCCGATTTCACTAAGGGTCCATGCACCTATATTGGGTAGTGGTCCCTTCTGGCGGGGGTCCTGTTTATAAGGACCCAGAAAGGGACCCTAATTTGGAGAAGAGCTGCGCCGTAGGTGCCCCTTGCAGGCCAAAGTGTATACTACATGGGCACACGGACCCTTAGGTTTTGGGGGTTTAGGGTTTAGGTTTGGGGGCCATTCTCACAGGCACCCAAAAAACAGGACGCTTGCATAAGACAAGCAAACTGTGTTTTTGGAAGTTGCGCTCTTTATGCGTGGGATTCGCTCCCCAGGCTTTGCACTTTCCGGGGGCTCCTGTCGCAAAGCAGTTACTGCCAATCCAGAACCCTAATCCGAGCTTCTGTTTAATTGGGGGCCCCCCCCCCCCCCCCCCCCCCACAATGAGAACGGCAGGGTTCCGCAATAGTTGGACCATGGCCCTGTATTGATTCTCTATTTAAAAACAATACGAATGCATTGAAAACAATAGGAATGTATAGAATGTGTATTAAAACTGAATAACAAAGTATTGACTCAGAAGCAAAAAAAAGCTTTCCGAAAGGCTGAGTTTCAAATTTTTGCAACGCCCCAAAAAAATCCTTTAAATGTGGGGGTTTGTACCATACGAAATCCAACCTATTGGAAAGCAGTCTTCCGGTGGGCTTCCGGCCCAAAAAATTTCTTTAAATATGGGGGTATTAATTAAACTGATGCTCGGATTAAGCCGGTCGAATGCCTATACCCCATTAACAGCTTTAAGCCACGAAACCAGCGGTTTGTTTGCCCGTTTTTAACCCCACAATGCATACAAATAAGGTGGGGTTGCTTTGCCATTGAAATCTCACACTACACTCTGAACCCCAAGCCCGAAACCCTAAACCCTACGCCCACACCCTGCCCTCAACTGTAGCGGTGCAGGACAAGCAGAAGGAGTTGGGCTCTGCGGCGGACAAGTTGCGAAATGGTCTCTCGCTCCCCGGCCATGCAGTGAGTCGGACAAATCGTTGTAAAGCTCAGGCTTTGCAGCCTTGTTGGTGTCGGGGATGTGTACGCATACACATACATATCTAATTTGTTTATGTGTAGATATCGGCATAGATCTTCCACAATGGGCAGCTTGATTGCCGCTTGGCTTATAGTTACAGACATGGAGGGGGGATGCCATACTGTTCGAAGAAGTCTCGCGCAAAGCAATCCAGATGTTTTTTACTGGATCCCCAGTATACTGATGACCCCAAACCCTAAAGTTAAAAACCGTAAGCTCCAAACCCAAAGCACCCTAGGGTTCAGGGTTCAGGGCTTAGGGTTTCGGACTTGAGGGCGCTTGGAGTATCCTAAGGAAGCTCGACGATGCCCGAGTGCAAGTGGCAGAGATGAGCGTGGACCTTGCAACTTGGACACAACAAGAAACCCACCCTAAACCCTAAACCCGAAACCTGAAACCCTAAACCCTACACCCTAACATGGGGCAGGGATCGGGGACTCAGGTTCGGGTTTCGTTTTTCAAGCAGCACACCCCCCGAAAACCCGGCAAACCCGAACCAGCCGAACCTTTCGGCCCCCCAAACCATGAACTCTCAACACTTAGAGTTTGTTTCATCATCTTTTTTGTAATTTCAGTGGCTTATTCTTGGTGATTCAGGGCACGACTTAGGGTCTCGAGCTCGTGACGTGCTCGGGATAGACGTTATTCTTCTCCTAGGGATCAAGTTGAGGATTCATTTTTTTAGGGTTTCGGGTTTAGAAGGTCCAAGGGTTGAAGCTTTTGAGGAGCCCGTTAGGATGCCCGAGATTCTAAAGCTAAGGCTTAGAAGCTTCCTGCTGGAGCATGCCACCCAACTCCCCCCTCCCCGCCCCCTGGGCAATCCCAAATGGTGCCCTTTTGCTGGTTCCACTTTTGTTCTTTTGGTTCCTCTAAGCAACGAACCAGAAAGAGGGGTAACTTTTTTTCAGCCTGCTACCTAGTCAGGAAGAGAAGCAGAAGATCTGCGACGTCAAGGCAAAAGAGTGCGAGGACCGAAAGGGGTGGGGACTTCTGATAGCCTGTATTAGAAGTCTGTGATACGCCTTGAGACTCCGGGAACGGGTTTGGGGTCTAGGGGTCAGGGTTTAGGGTTTAGGATTTAGGGTTTAGCGTTTTAAGGTTTAGGGGATTACAATACATCTTGACGAACAAGACCTGGCCTACTTCCGAAGTTCGCCGAGCTCCGGTGGCCGCGGGCTCTGCAACCTTGACTCTGTATCCTTATTCTGCTTGGGAATTGTTTGATATAAAGCCCAAGAGGATATTAAAACTATTGTTCTTATGAGGGTTCTAAGGGGAGTGTAGGTATTGGAAGAAGAAGACCTTCAACTCAACCCCAAACCCTACATCCCCAAGAAGGAAACATATAGGGTTGTTCTGGAAACGGGTGTTTTGATCAAGGACCAAACATCGTCAACACGCCCTGGAGAAAAAAACGCTCGGAAGCCACCGACCCACGAGAACAGGAACCAGCAATAACAACCCAGCCACCCTAAACCCGAAACCCTAACCCCTAAACCCTAAACCCTAAACCCTAAACCCCCCTACCTCAAAAAGCTAAGCAAAACACCCGGCCAGGAGCTGCTGAAAGTCATCACGGCGGAGCGCTCGAAAGCGGACGCGCAGCAAGCGCAGGCCAGGCCTGGAGGTTTGGGGTTTCGGGTTTGGGGTTTGGGGTTTAGGGTTTAGGGTTTGGGGTTTGGGGTGTTGGTTTGGGGATGTTAATAGTACTCGTAGTAGTAAGAATAAGCATCGTCATAGCAATCGTAATACTGGACCGGGTTTCTCTAGGGTTTGGGTGGAAGCTTGCAGTGTTGCGAGCTTAAAGTTTAGGGCCGAGGTGAGTTCGGCGGCTTAGGGTTCAAAGGAGCGGACCTAAGGTGGGGGTAGTTTGGGGTTCCGACTCAACCGACCTGATGGGCGGAAGCAGCTTCTCAAAGAGGTGGCACCAAGCAAGCTAAGAGCCAACGCTCTAAGGGCTTGGGCGGGTTGAGGCACATTTGACCTCTGCAGCCCCCCAAATTCCAAACGCGCTAAGCCCTAAATCCGCTAAACCCCAGCCGATCCTGGGAGGCAGAGGCAGCTTCGACCCAAACCCCAATACCCAAAATCTCCCAAACCCTAAACCGCCAAGCCCCCTAAATCCCCAAACCCCCAAACACCCAAACCCCAAACCCCCCAACAGCCCAAACCCCCAGACCCCAAACCCCCAAACGTCCCAAACCCCAGACGCCCCAAACCCCCCCAAACCCCGAGCCCCCAAAATAGATCAAACTCTAAACCCCCCAAGCTGAAAAGGTGGAAGCAGATTCCATCCGCATTGAGAAGGAAGCCAAGGACCTTTGCGGAGATCTCTTTTTGGATGGTTGGTTTAGGGTTTAGGGTTTAGGGCTTCCAAGGGTTTTATGGGGGGCGTTTCGGATTCAACTATAAGAATGGGGTGGAGTCCAACTCCTCAACCCTGAGCCCTAAGGACTTAGGGTTATGCTCAGAGCTTCGCAGAAGATTACAAGGATCCTAGCCTAGGATGCAAGTCCCTTAACCATAGTTAGTCTCGTAAGGGGGCCCCTCCTTGCAGGGTTTTGGGTTGAAGGTGTAGGCAGCACTGTATGGGCAAATCCTATACCCAAAGTGCAAAGCTATTCAGCTAGTGGGGCGCGGCGCTGAGGTCCTGACAAGCCAATATGCTGCGTAAATCACGCACACGACGCACTCCAAGACTCATGTTAAGCCTGACATCCTCAACCGTCAGACTCGGATTCCCATGCTAAGAAATGCAAGATACGTATGAAAACCTGTATACGGTATATGCTGTACTCATAACTAGGGAGGCCCCTCCTTGCAACCCATAGGCCCTACCACAAGAAAAATCTCCAAGGCTACAACAAGGTTCCATACTCAGCGAATTGTCATGCTCGGTTCTGCTGCCTGCTTTCCTTCATCCGGCCCGATGCACCACTTGTAAGTATGTACGGTTTGGGGTCTAGGGTCGGGCTATGTGAAATAGTTTATTATTCACTCGCAAGCCCAAAAAAAAACAATTGCAGGTTAGTTTAGGCCTTTACATTCAACAATCCCCCCTGAACCCTCCCTAAACCCTTAACCCTTACCCCGAAACCCTAAACCTAAACCCCAAGCCCGAAACCCTAAACCCAAAAACCAAAACCCCCGAAATCCTAATCCCTAAACCCAAACCCTTGCCACCCGCGAAGCTGCCAAGCACCAACAGGAGACGAAGATCTTAGCCGACGACGCCACCCGAGATCTGGAGAAGGCGTCTGAGACTGTGCAAGGGTTTAGGGTTTGGGTTTAGGGTTGAGGGTTGAGGGTTTAGGTTTTGGGTTGAGGGTTTAGGGTTTAGGGGCTTAGGGGGGCTGAGGGTCCCAAACCTTAAACCCCAAACCTAAGACTTAGGGGAATGAATGGTTTTCAGGGTTGCCGGGCCTAGAGCTTTTTTGAGGCTTATGCCAAGATTCTGAGTAGTCCACCTGAAAATCGACGTACCCAGAGCAAGCCTTAGTAGCAGAGTAGGTAACCCTTCACCCTTCTTGGGGCATGATAACCCCTACAAAATCACAACGGCAGTTAACCTGTACTTCCCCTAGGATACTGCACAACGAAGACACAGTGTGACATGTTTACTGCATCAAACAGAGCTATGAATCAGACACTAGTTTTCTGTGTTCGTGGTGTTGCGCCTTTCCATTTGTACAGACACCTGAAGACTTGCATACAGGCATTTCTCAAAGCAGGAGTACGCCTATATGCTTTGCATAGATGTTGATAGGAAGGGCCACGATCTCTGCCTAGAGCAACCTACATACCCTTTATATAAACTTGAACAAGACCGAAACGGAAGTTTTTGGGGCGAGTCGATGACATGTGCCTTCATTGTGAGTCTCCTTGTGCATGTGAACCTTTAGATAGGTTACTCGAGGCGAAAGAAAACTTGAACCCTCAAACCGTACAATCAGGGTTTTGGGTTTTACCCTAAACCTAAACCCTAAACCTAAACCCTAAACCCTAAATCTTTAAACCCTAAACCCGAAACCCTAAACCCTAAACCCTAAACCCTAAACCCTAAACCCGAAACCTTAAACCCTAAACCCTAAACCCTAAACCCTAAACCCTAAACCCTCAAACCCTCAACCCCAACCATTCGGGTGTAGGGTTTTTCAAGACGGATGCAAGCTGGCAGGCCATGCCTGCTCTCGATGCGGCGGTGGATGCACTTGAGAAGCTGGACAAGAAGTCCATCGCAGAGGCCAGGTTCGTTAGGGTTTAGGGTTAGGGCTTAGGGTTTAGGGTTTAGGGTTTAGGGTTTAAGGTTTAGGGTTTAGGGTTTTGGGTTTTGGGTCGGCATTCAGGCTATGAGAGTTTAGGTTTTGGGTTTTTGGGTTTTGGGTTTAGGGCCCTAGTCTTTAAAAACCCTCAAAATATACACCCTAGGAAGGCTCAGCCCTCAACCCAAAACCTTAAGTATACCCTAAACCTCAAAGCCTGTAGCCTGGCTCTTGTTTCGACGGCTCGCGAAAACAACCCAACACCCTGACCCCGAACGCCTAAAGCCTGACTCCTCATGGCTGAACCATACAGAAGGGTTCAGCGATTAGGCTTTTGAGTTTGGGTTTTGGGGTGTAGGATTTATTGTTTAGGGTTTGGGTTCAGGGTTGTGGCTCAGGGTTCAGGGTTTAGGGTTTCAAGCTTCTGTCCTCGATATTCACTGCAAGGTCTTCGGTTTGCGTAAGAGCCTTGGCGTTGCATCAGCGTGGTAGGGTGTAGGATTCTTGTCTAGGGTTTATAGAGTTTAGGGTTTAGGGTGTATTGTTTAGGGTTGTGGGTCTAGGGTTTTGGGTTGAGGGTGCATTTGCGGGATCAAGCGCAGAAGATGATGGGCGGGAAGGCCGAAAAGCAAGCGAAGCCCCAAACGACTGAAACCTTGAAATCCTTCGAAGCCCCAGGTCCAAAGGACACAAAAAAGCCGTGAAGTCCCCTCAACCCGAAAATCTTAATTCCGATCTCCGAAACCCTAAAAGCCCCAAAACCCTCAGAAGCCTCAACTTCTCAAACGGATATTTCGATTTGGGCCCTGGTTAGAAGCTTGCTGCTCAACCATTGGCCCGGAGCATCAGCGGAATCATGACCCTCCCATGTTGCGAAAGATGCCCTATAGCAAAAGGGACATCAAGACCCACGGCCCACAGCAAAGGGACCGGCCTTCAAACTCCTGGAGGGCGGACGACAATGCAGGGAAGCCGCCGGTTGAAGACAGCCTGCGTGTGCAGCCAGAGATCTTAAGGACTTGCTGTTGCACAAACCAGATTAGCAGCAAGGGGACAAACCCTAAACCCTAAACCCGAAACCCTAAACCCTAAACCCTAAACCATTGGCAGCATCATGGCACTCTCACTTGAAGGCCCGCGGAGTGTGAGCCGTCAGCAGTATCATGGCTTTCCTGTTTTGACGCAGAGGCCCCCAAAGCTGTGAGCCCAATGCCCCAGAGAACCTGAACCCTAAACTCTAAGCACTCTAGACCTTAAACCCTAAACTCTACACCCTAGCCCTAAACCCTAAGCCCTCTAAGGCTCTAGAGTTTCAGACTTAGGGTGTGAGAGGTTTGACCCTTGACACTCCGAATCTAGTGGAAGGAGTCCCTTCCAGGTTTGAGCCCTAAACCTTAAACCCTTTCTGTCAGGTGAAAGCCTACGCGAAGCCGCCTGAGGCGGTGATGAAGACCATGTGCGCCGTGATGACGGCGCGCCGGGGGAGTGGGGCCTTTTGAGGGCTTAGGGTGGCTGAGGGGAGAAGCGTCATAAGTTGGGGTTTAGGGTTCAGGGTCCAGGGTTTAGGGTTTCGGGTTTAGGGTTTATATACGGCTATGTAGAGACCCTTAAGCCCCATACCCTTAAGCGCCATTTTTCAAGGCCTAAGCCCGGACACGGCCTTCACTACTAAAGCACTTCAGTTTAGGGTTTAGGGTTTAGGGTTTAGGGTGTAGGGTTTAGGGTTTAGGGTTTAGGGTTTAGGGTTTGGGGTTTAGGGTTTGTAGGGTTCAGGGCTTGGTGTCCTTAAACCCTATACCATGGCATATAGGAAGTAGGGAAACTCATGAGGGAACCCTAAGCCCTCCTCGACAGCCTTTTCGAAACGTAAGAGCTCTGGCACGCAGCGTGAGGTCATGGAGAAGACGCCCTCATGGGGCCAAGCAAAGACCGAGCTGAATGACACGACTCTTGACCTTGCATTTGGGTTTAGGGTTTGGGGTTCAGGGTTCAGGGTTTAAGGTTTGGGTTTTAGGGTCTCGGTTTTCGTGTTTAGGGTTGAGGATTTAGAGCGGAGGATTGGGGTTTAGGGTTTTGGGTTTTTTTAGAGTTTAGGGTTGTCGGGTTCAGGGTTTAGGGTTCAGCCTTTAGGGCTTAGGGCTTGGTTCTTGTGTGTCAGCTCTGTCATCCGGGGCCCTTCTTGGGACATCCTGAATCTCTCAGAAGCATACTATACAACAGCTACCCTACAAAACATCATGTTGGACAAGTCACTGACCAGCTGAAAGCTTGTCTGCAGCGTGTAGGCTTGTGTTTCCGTAGGGGAAATTAGGGACTTCAGCAAACGGCACGATCGTTTTTTTTGGCATCAGAGTCCGGCTGATGATTCAGGCCTTGATTCGGGTTTAGGGTTTTAGGGTTTTAGGGTTTTAGGGTTTTAGGGTTTTAGGGTTTTAGGGTTTTAGGGTTTTAGGGTTTTAGGGTTTTAGGGTTTTAAGGGTTTTAGGGTTTTAGGGTTTTAGGGTTTTAGGGTTTTAGGGTTTTAGGGTTTTAGGGTTTTAGGGTTTTAGGGTTTTAGGGTTTTAGGGTTTTAGGGTTTTAGGGTTTTAGGGTTTTAGGGTTTTAGGGTTTTAGGGTTTTAGGGTTTTAGGGTTTTAGGGTTTTAGGGTTTTAGGGTTTTAGGGTTTTAGGGTTAAAGAAATACGGGGCGCTTTATAGCCCCTCCCTTGCTGTACGCCTCCCAGGTCCGCATGAAGTGCCTGCTGTCAAGATGTTTTCCTTGGACACCCTTTTTTGCAGCTCTGAGGCTTTCAGGGTTTAGGGTTTAGGGTTTAGGGTTTAGGGTTTAGGGTTTAGGGTTTAGGGTTTAGGGAAAGTCCTTTGAAGAGGGCTTAGGGTGCCCTCCCAAGCCCAAATCAGACCCAAATCCTACTTCCCCAGCCGAGGAACTTCCTCGTCCGCATCAAGACCTTCGACAAGGACCTCAAGAAGGGTTTAGGGTTTAGGAATGTGGCTTAGGGTTCAGGGTTCAGGGTTCAGGGTTCAGGGTTTAGGGTTTAGGGTTTAGGGTTTAGGGTTTAGGGTTTAGGGTTTAGGGTTTAGGGAGCAGTGGCATTAGGGGTTTAGGGTTGACCGGTAACCTTAAGACTAGGCATCGTCCTCCACATCTTGATAAACCAGTACGTCGGAAGGACCCTAAATCCTAAACCCCTAAACCCTAAACCCGAAACGCTAAACCTAAACCCTAAACCCCAAACCCTAAATCCTAAACCCTACACCCTAGACCCTAAACCCTGAACCGCACTTGGGGGCCAGCATAAGCGGGAAGGACAACATCAAAGACACCACGCTGCGCAAGATCGAGAAGTGCCTTCGGTGAGGATTTCTGAGTCCAGTCATTCCACTTCGAGGGGTTCAGGGTTTAGGGTTTAGGGTTTAGGGCTTAGAGTTTAGGGCTTAGGGTTTAGGGTTTAGGGTTCAGGCTTCAGGGTTTAGGGTTTGGTTTGTAGGTTGTCCGTCTTAAGTGTGTAGAAGAGACGCTAACGAATAATGGAAGCCATGGCCCTGAACCCTGAAATCCCAGGGTCCACGGTGTAGATCCAACCACCTAAAACCTAAGGCCTAAGCCCTAAGCCCTAAACCCTAAACCCTAAAACCCTAAAAACCCTAAAAACCTAGGCCCTAAGCCGCAAGCTCCCCCGAAGGGCACCAATTCCTAGATCCTAAACTCCTTCGAGTCTAAGGCCCTCAACTACCCAAATGCCCCCTAAACCCTAGACCCCCGAAGCACCAAGCCTGGACTCAACCCCCCTACCCTCAAGTCCCTCAACAGCAGGCCCCTTCAATCCCTAGAACCACTAACCGTAAACCCCAAACCCTGAACCTTAAACCCTAAACCCTAAACGCTTAACCCAGCCCTCATGTACCTGTCATCGCCAGCCAGCCAGCGGCACAACCCCTTGGCCACAACCTCGACATTGAGGGCCTCCGGCAGACGGGCTGGACTGTCGAGGGTTGATCCTTGTAGTTGCCCAAGTTCTGTTCACTCGGGCTGGGCTAACTGGTCAAGGTGACAACCAGACCATCAAACTCCGGGTGAGACTTCCGGAGGGTGTCACACCTGAGCTGGCAGAACCACATGGACGAGTCTCAAGGTGCTGTGGCTGCATTCCGTGGTGAGCTTGACTCAGCCTCAGAAGAATGCCGTAGTCTCTGAACCCCCCCAAAAAACATAAAAGAAGAAGAAAAGACAAAGAAGCTTGCAATCCCTGCGCGCCTCAACCTTCAACCACCTAACTTAACCCTAAACCTCTACTAAGCCCTGAACCCTAAGCCCGACACCCTAACTTGAAGTTCGGTAAACTAGGATCCAGCTTTACCCCCAAATATAGTAACTACCAAACAACAAGCACGTTCATAAACCCCGCAATCCCTCAACCATCATACCCTAACACCCTAAACCCGAAACCCTAAGCACTCTGTATGGAGTCCCCAAATCCCTGTAAAGCCCTCAGTCCTAAAGCCCAAAACCTCAACCCTAAAACCCGGCCCTAACACACTGAGCCTCAGCACCCTTTTTAAACTCTAAGGCTCTAACGAGCCGCGTAACCCCTAAACCCTAAACCCTAAACCCTAAACCCTAAACCCTAAACCCTAAACCCTAAACCCTAAACCCTAAACCCTAAAGACCCTAAACCCTGAACCCCAAACCCTAAACCCTGAACCCAAACCCCAAGCCGCGCTGCCTTGAGGTTCACCAAAGACGCCAATTTCACTCCCAAGTTGGTGTCGGGGGGCCCTGCTTTTCCTACTGGTTCTAGGACACAGAGTAGGCCCTCATTGGGTTTAGGGTTTCGGGTTTAGGGTTCAGGGTTTAGGGTTTAGGGTTTGGGTTTAGGACTACTAGGACACAGGATAGGAATGAGGTACGTACTATATTTGCAAAAAAACGCTCAAATGTTTAAAAACACAAGCTCTTTGTAAGGGCACTGTAGGGATTACTATCCTTTATTTATTTGTGGTTTGTCTTCAGCAAATAGTAGATTAGAGTCTAGGTTTTAGGGTCAGGGTTTAGGAGGGAATGATGTACCATGGATCCCAAGGAGTTTCTGTGTGGGGTATCTCAAACCAATACGGTTATTTTCTTCTGCTTGCGTGGTAAGTAGGGTTGAGGGTTTGGAGTTTAGGGTTTAGGGTTTGAGGGTTGAGGGTGCTAACCACGAACCCTAAACCCTAATCAGTAATTGCCGCTGAGTAGCAAGCATGAAGGCTCAAGGATGTTTAGTCCTTGGGGGAGATTCCGTAGAGTTTTCACGTGTCCTGGGTTGGGTTCTCCTAGTTATCTTGTCTTAGTGGTCCTTGCAGTAGGGAATGACGGAATGAGGTACCTCATATCCTATATATGTGCCCACTAAGGGCTTCCCATAAGGTACCCTTATCCCTCATTCCCTATTGAGAACCAGGAGGTTATTTGCATTCGCACTTCTTCCGTACGTGTCACTCTATCCTTCTTCCCAGCAGACCCTAAACTCTAATGCCCGATTCCTAGTGGGCCCTAAACCCTAAAGCCCAAGGCCCACAGTAGACCCTAAACCCGAATTGAAGCCCGAGGCTAAGCATAGGCCCGCAACCCTACAGCCTGGCAGGTCCAGACCCCTTCCAACGTCTAGCAGGCCTAAACCCTAGGCTCATGTCCGAAACCTTGGGATGTTCCCCCTTTATACCTTAATAGGGATTATAGTACCCCTTTATACCTTAATAGGGATTATAGTACCCCCCCCCCCCCCCCATAATAATCCTATGAAGGACTGTTAGTTTTCAGGGGAACATCCCAACCTAAACCCAACCCTCGGCCCCTGGTACCTAAACCCCCTTGACGGCCTCACTGGAGAGTCGTGTGTGTTTCCCAGGGGGCGGCGCCTCAGAGCCTCTTAACACAGTGGAGAAGAGACGTAGGCGAACAGCTCATCTGCGAGGTGGAACTTTACGCGCTCGTCCTTATCCGCCTCAAACTGATGAACAGACTGCTTGGCAAACACGTGATTTTCTCCTCGTAGTAGAGGTAACCTTTATCCTTTGTGGGGTAGTATAATCCCCCTTATAATCCCAAAGGTTAACCTTGAATTCCCCCAGGTTCCTGGACAACTAAGTTCTTCATCGACAACGACTCGGCCAGAGCGGTGAAGGTCAAAGCAAGTCAGCCGCCATGCACAGATTGGCCTGGGCGCCCGCAAGCATCGAAGATCTTTCGCCCTGCCGCGCGTGGGTCGAGACGGTTCCGTCTTTCTCAAACATCGCGGACTAACCGTCCCGAGGCGAAGGAGAAAAGGCAGCTAAGTTTCTCGGAGCAGAGGGAATGGAGCCTTTCTCTGAAGACCCCGCTTTCCTTCTCCTTTCCTAGCCCATCGATGACAGCGAGGGGGCATAAAAGCTGAGGCCCAAACCCTAGCTTCGACCTTGAGGCCCTAAACCCTTAGCCCCCAAACCCTAGAGCCTAGCCCCTAAGCCGGCTTAGGGTATAGGGTTTAGGGTTTAGGGTTTAGGGTTTAGGGTTTAGGGTTTAGGGTACCCTGACCCCCGAAGCCTGGACCTAAACCCCAGGCCCCGAACATGCTAGGCCCCAAAACCCTATAGGCCGTAAATGACACTGCCCACGACTGTCCTTAGGGTTTCGATATACATGTGAAAGAGAGGTTTGGGGGGTAGGGTTTGGGTTTTGGGGTTCGGGGCTTTGAACCCCTGAACCTCTTCTTCGGGTTCTAGGGTTTCAGGGTTTAGGGTTTAGGGTTTTAGGGTTTTAGGGCTTGGGGTTTCGGGTTTCGGGTTTAGGGTTTAGGGTTAGGGGTTGCCTTCTAAGGTCCAACGTCTCCTTGGCGGCAGGCGCCTTGTGCCTCTTGGCAGCTGAGATGGGCAGTTCTCTAAATAATAGGGTGTAGGGTTTTAGGGTTTAGGGTTTAGGGTTTTAGGGTTTTAGGGTTTTAGGGTTTTAGGGTTTTAGGGTTTTAGGGTTTTAGGGTTTTAGGGTTTTAGGGTTTTAGGGTTGAGGGTTTAGGGTGTTAGGGTTTTAGGGTTTAGGGTTTAGGGTTGAGTGCTAGTTCTGTTTAGTGGGGCCCCTATTTGGGTCCTTATTAAAGGGGTGCCGTACTATAGGACTGAAAGGGAGACGCTAGTCTAGAGAACTACCCAGATGTGCCTGTGAGCCTTGCAACTCTGTAGGGTTTTGGGGGGTTAGGGATTTGGGGTTCAACGTGTTTTCGGGGCTTAGGTTTAGGGGTTCGAGTTTTAATGGCTTCTAGGATTTAGTGTTTAAGTTGAGGGTGATTTAATGGCCGGGTTTAGTGTTTTGGGGTTGCAGGGTTTTAGGGTTTCGGGCCCATGGGGGGGTATCGGAGTCTCTGGGTGTGAGAGCACTCGACCAGGTTAAGGGTTTTGGGTTTAGGGTTTAGGGTCCCCGCCCCCATAGATTGTCAAACGACGGAATCTGGCACAATACAGAAAACCTCATGGCACTCTACTATCTGGTGATATATGAGCTTCAATATACCACTCAACCCAAACTCGGTCCCTTGTGTACATGGGAGGGGCGGCCCTAAACCCTAAACCCTACACCCTAAACCCTAAACCCTAAATAAACCCTTAGCAACCCAGGCACGAAAAGCTGCAGTGCCTTGAGCCCTCAAACCCCGAAACCCTGAAACCGCAAAACACCCTAAACCCACCACCCCTAATGAAACTTCAAGCCCACGGGCTTCAACCCTAGCCCCTGGATCCAAAATTCCAAAGGTGGGTCGAGGCAAAGCCACCTAAAGCCCTAAACGAAACAACTCTAAGCCCCTCAGCCCGAAGCCCCTAAACGATTTGGAGCCTCGCAGAAACTTACGGTGTCAGTGTTCCCTTATACCAACAGTCCTTAATAGGCAACCCCTTATGAATACCCCTACGAAGGACTGTTGGTAGAAGGGGGGTTAATATCCCAAGGTCACTGGGAAACCCTAAACCCGAAACCCGAAACCCTAAACCCTAAACCCTAAACCCTAAACCTAAACCCTGAACCCTTAATTCACCCTTGAACCCTAAACCCTAAACACTGAGAGGTCAGTGGGTTCATGCCATGAAGATCTATGCCGAGATCTACCGCGAGGTGGAGCCCAAGAGGCTGCTGGGGGCACGCTGGGGTTGGAGGGGTTTGTTCAGGGTTTTGGGGTTTAGGGTTTCAAGGGTTTAGGGCTAGGGGTTAGGGGTTAGGGGTTGAGGCTGTCTATGGTTTATGGGGTCTTAGGGGGGTTCATACGGTTTATAGGTTTTGTGGATCTTTATCTTTGTTGGGCATGGAGGTTTATAGGGTTTAAGGCGTGCGGGGTTTGGTTCGGGGGGGGTATAGTGCTTAAGGTTCACAGGGTTTAGGGTTGGGGTTTAGGGGTTCAGGGTGTAATTACAGTATAGGATTTGGGGTTTAGGCTTGTTTTCATTTATTTGCGCTTGCCAGGGTATGTGGGTAATCACGCGTCCGTTTGTGTGCCATTTTCGAGTACGGCACCTTATAAACAGGATCCCCAAAAAGGGGCCCTAATTTACAGGACTAGGACAGCTCGTCATCCCTAAACCTCAAACCCTAAACCCAAAACCCTAAAGCCTTTTTCTGCTTATAGGAGACCCAGAAGGGACCGCAATAGAGACCCGGTCTCCCGGTAGTACCCCTATGATACCTTATGAATGAAAGCTGAATAGTAAGAAAAAGGGTACCCTTATTCTAAAGGGGTCATAAGGGGGAACCTAGGAAGTATAGTACCTACTTTGGGATATCGGAGCCTCTGGCAGATGAAGCAGGGTTCTGGCAACCCCCAACCCTGAATCTTGAACCCTTCTTACTCCAAACCCTGAACCCTAAACTCTACACTTTAAACGCTAAACGCTAGCAACACCCCTGATATCACCCTCCTTTCCCTAAACCCTGAACCCCTAACCCTCAACCTTAAACGTTTGTAGGGTTCGAGAGAGAGAGAGAGAGAGAGTTCACAGTGCTTATGGGGTTTTGTACTGTTGATAGGGTTATACTCTAAACCCTAGCCGTAAACCCTAAACCCCGAAAGGGACCATGTGACTACCGCGTGGTTTTGGGTTTTGGGTTCGGGGCTCAGGGTTTGGGGAAAGGTTCAGGGTTTAGGGTTTAGGGTTTAGGGTTTAGGGTTTAGGGTTTAGGGTTTAGGGTTTAGGGTTTAGGGTTTAGGGTTTAGGGTCAAGGGCTTAGCGAAATTGCCGCAAGATCAACCAACAAGGGCATTCACGTCGTTGGCTTTTGCCAGGCTCCCCAAACATCCCTACAGGCTTACGGCTTCGAGTCGCTTAGGGTCTCCCCCTATGTTGGGTCCGAGATTCTTGGATGTATCCCTTGGGTGGGGACCCTACTAGTAATGTAGGGGTCGGAATAATTTCTGGTAGTATTCCCCTGTGGTCCCATTAAAATTTACCATAAGAACACGCAAAACCCATTCCCCACGAGGTTGGCCCCTACATTATGTTAGTTTAAGGGCTCCGGCTAACGCCCATATCCGCCACTCCAGGAACAAGCTCAAGTCTGCGCAGGATAAGCTTGAGGCACGGGCGCGCGACGTTGTGAACCTTGATTACTGTAGGGCTTGGGGTTCAAAGTTTTGAGTTTTGGGCTTTGGGATAGGCGCTGCCGCAATGAGCGATCCTCTTTGCTTTTTCCCAAACCTCAAAGTCCTTCTTAGGCTGTAGCTTCCAAACTTCCTAAAGCCCCCTTAGGAGTTTTTTTTTATCTTTGTTCATGTAATGAAAATAGCCCAATTAAGGCACTACACAATACATGTCGCTTTCAGGTTCTAAGGAGAGTATAGCTTCTGGGATAGCTTGCCCCCCAAGAAATTGTTGGTACATGCGGGGCCCAAGAGAAGTGACGGGGTTAACCTACAACCGACACCGACCAGGGACGGGAGTGTACATGTTGCAGTCGGTCTTGACATCAACTCCCAGATACTCCTGCTATCTTCCACCGCAGAAGCTCAATACGACTCCATGAAACTGGGGGCTCATATACCCTATACTACCATAACCCCTAAAAATGCACATGCACCACAAGCCCTAGTAGGATCCCCAAGGAATAGCTTTTGTTGAGGGTCTGGGGGGGGGGGGGGGGGGGGGCAGTACATCTAAGGCGGGTTGTGGGTTTCGGGCTCAGGGTTCATGAGGCTTCCTAGATCCTAACCCCTGCACCCCATTGCAAGCCCTGTATTCTCCCCGCCTCCAGGCCAAGCAGAAGCAGCTGAGGGAGGCCAACGCTGCTCCTTGGCCTGCGCAGCTCCCGCCACGAAGCCCGAGATCTGGTGTTTAGGGTTCAGAGGGTTTAGGCTTCTCAACGCTTCTACGCCCTTTGGAGACCTTTGTAAAAAAGCTCTCTTGGGAGTGTCTTGATGCTTCATGCATAAACCCGAAACCTAGCGGTTAAGGGTGCGGAGGCTTTCGGGCTTACCCTAAAACAAGCCGAGCCCCGAGCACCTTAAACCCTGTGGACCTGAACCCTAAAACCCCTTTGACACTTAGGCGGCCATTTCCGTACACTTCCTCGCCAAACCTCTTGGGGTTTAGGGTGTAGGGTTTAGGGTTTGGGGTTTAGGGTTTAGGGTTTAGGGTGTACGGTTTAGGGTTTAGGCACAAGGCCGCAGGATGTCAATCCAGGGCCCACGCGACCAAAGCACCCACCTCCCCGACCCTCATTCCGAAAAAAAACACACTCCAGAACGCAAAAACCCTAAAGCCAAACCCTAACGCCCTGAACCCTACTTGGAGGTTCAGGGTACTTCTTAACCTAATTATAACTGTACTAGGAACCCACTTATATAAGCCCCTTAAGTGCTTTCATATGGTTTTTATTTGGGCTACAAGAACAGATAGTATATATTATATATTGTTAAAGTAGCCTGAAGCTCCGAGCATGCCCTAAGCTCGAGGTACAGCCATGATGCCCACAGTTGTAGGGTTCAGAGGGCTTAGATCTTCTAGAGGCTCTTAGGGCTCAGAGTTCAGGATATTTCCGGCTCTGGGGGGGGGGGGGGGGGTTTAGGGTTTAGGGTTTAGGGTTTAGGGTTTAGGGTTTAGGGTTTAGGGTTCAGGGTTCAGGGTTCAGGGTTCAGGGTTCAGGGTTCAGGATATTTCCTGGGTGGGGAGGGGGGGGGGATTTCGGGTGCATAGTCTATAGGTGCTAACCTACAACCAGTGACAACAGCATCCAGGGAAGACGCGCTGACAAAGCTGCCCTAGAAACCCCAAACCCTAAACTCGCATTCAGAGCTTAAGGAAGCTTCCCTCATTGATTTCACATAGGGTGCAGAAGGTATAAGGTACCCTAAAGACTAGACCCTGAACCCTAAACCCTCTAATCTCTTTTGAGGGTTCCCGGGGCCTGAGGAGCTCAAGAAAGTGCAAGAGATGGTCAAGAACTTGAACGACCAGTTCTCCGCCTCCAACAACGAGAAGGCGGGGGGCGAGCGAAGCGGAAGCTCCGCCTCCTAAGGAAGCTCAGAAAGGGCTCAGGGTTTAGGGTTGTCAGGGTTCAGGGTTCTGGGTTTTCAGGGTTGAGGGTTTTCAGGGTCCAGGGTTCAGGGTTTAGGGTTTAGGGTTTAGGGTTTAGGGTTTAGGGTTTAGGGCACCTAAGCCGGCCTAGGCCTACTTCGACGTCACGTCGAGGGTTCAGGGAGAGGGCTCAGGGCTTCGGTTTTCACAAGCGGCCTTCAACCTCGCCTAAACCCTAAAGCCTAAGCACTACGCTCGCGCAACCCCAATAGCCCGGCCTCCGCTTGGGCCAGTCAAGCCAACGCAGTTTCCTCCGTGCACCCGGCCGTTGCCTTTGTACAGCTCCCGGTTGCTTCCTGGCTCGGCCTTGTTGTCGCAGTCCACGAGAAAAAAAGTCCTTGGATTAAGAATCACTTGTACTCTCTCACAAGCAGTGTTTTGTTTTGTAAGTTTTGCGCCGCGCTGAGAAGTAGGCATGGCGTTTTATCAACTCCCTAATCTCCCTAGCCTGCTGCACTCTCTAAACTCTAAGCGCTTTACACTTTCTAAACCTACATCTCCCTAAGCCCTGAGCTGTCGAAACCCTACACCCTAAGCCCCAAACCCTAAACCCTAAACCGCCTAAGCCCCAAACCCTAAACCTTACATCCCAACTGCCAGGAGACCTTGGCGCGCACCGCCGAGGAGCTGAAAATCAAGCTCGAGCGAGCAGGCCCCGAGCTTGCAAGAAGTTATGCGATTTCTATATCCCCCTTGGGTTTTTTCATTTTTGTTTATATAAAGCCCAAGAGGATATTAAAAATATTGTTTTTATTAAGGTTCTAACGGGAGTATAGATTTAGGGTGTAGGGAATAGGGTTTAGGGTTCAGGGTTAGGGGTAGGTAAATGGGGATTTAGAGTTTTCGGTTTTCGGGGTTTAGGGTTCCTGGTTTGTGGTTATTTCGGGTTTCGGGTTTAGGGCTTGCGTTTCAGGATTTGGTGTTGGTTCTTGCCCTAAGGGTCCATGTACCTGATTATGATATACTTGGGCCCCAAAGTCCCTAAACAGGAAGTACTTTAAGGCCCAAGTCTTCCCTATTTAGGTACATGGACCCTTAGGGTTGCTTTAAGGCCACTAGCCCGGACCCTGGCTCTGAACCCGAGAGCCAAAAGCCTGAACGACTAGGACGCGAGAAACTCCTCGAAACTTTCCCCGGGCCTGAGCCCTTGATACGCTCAACAAACCCAGAGCGCTATAAATTCTTATATCTGGTTCAGGGCCAACCCTGAACCCTAATCCCTAAAACCCTAAGCCCAGTAGGAAGTTTGTCGGGTTTGGGGTGATGTTCTGGAGATGTCCAGCCTAAACCCTAAACCCCAAACCCAAAGACCTAAACCCCAAACCCGAAACCCTAAACCCAAAACCCCAAACCCTACGTATTGAGTCTGCAGATGCGCCAGGACAGGAGGGGCAATACTGGAGTTTCGACCACCAATGAGGTTTGCGACAAGAAAAGCAATGGTATTCGCAGGCTACATAGTAGCCACAGTGTCAAGCTGGTATGGTGCAGTCACGATGCTGGGGGGGCTCAAGGCGATGTACTATCAAGATCTGGAGATTTCATCGCTGTTGCCGCATCTTGCCGGCTCGCTTCAGAGGCTGAGAGCACTTGGAGCCAGAGGGGAGGTGCTCAGGCTGAAAGTGTGCATCCGGATACTGGGCGCGGAGGCCAGTATTTTCAGGTTTGTGAACTTGACAATCACTTCCGAAGAGCACTACCTCGAAACTCGCGAGAAAAAGCGGTGGCACCGGCCCATGCAGCCTTCGGCCCTCATTTTGTGCCAGAGATCCGGAGAGCCGGCACGTCCTCACATACGGAGTCCCCACCCCAACACTCGAAGACAAGCACTTGCAGAAGCTGGATTTTTGGGTTTTCGGGTACCTTACAAGAGTCCTGGGCGGAAAGGCTTCATATTCTTCCCGTACTACTAGCCGCGCAGCATGGCTCAAAGCCAACAGATCACTCCTCCCTTTCCCAAAGCACCAAATAATACTATCCCAGCAATTAGCCCAACTCATCCCTTCCCAAAATGCACCCCATAACGACCCAATTCACCATGGCGCTTTCTCCCCCGGTTACAAGATAGGTATACAGACAGTTCTTTAGAGCTTTATCGTTTTTTGTTTTATAGGTTGTTATAGGGCTTATGTTTTATGGGTGCTTGGGTTATATGAGGTTTATAGTGTTGTTATAGGGTTTAGAGGGTTTTCAGTGCTTGTTAGGGTGTTGTGTGGTTTTTTATGGTTTATGGTGTTGTTTTCTCGGTTCGCCGGCTCCCAAACCAAAGTTGCGCAAATGCTCAGGCAAGCTGGTCGATGGCCTCGCCGGAGAGAAGGTGATCTCCCACCCCAACAAAAACCGGTAAACCCCTATAAGCCCTATTAGGGTTCAGGGTTTAGGGTTTAGGGTTTAGGGTTTAGGGTTCAGGGTTTACACACCCTAAGCTTAAGCCTCAATGCCTTAACCCGAAGAGCCGTGAACCCCGAAAGTCAAAAAGCATAGTTGGGGAAGGTCGCCTATGTCGGCGCTCGAGAATAGGAGAGGTAGCGGAGGCCTTGCGTGTTCAAATGTGGCTGCAACTACAGGGTGGGGCCCCCTAGTTATAAGTAGAGTTATAAGGGCCCTAAATTGGGTTATAAGGACCCTAAGTTAGGTTATAAGTCCCTTAACTACAATTAGTATAGTAAGGGGGCCCCACCCTGTAGCAAAGGGACGTGCGTGTGTGATGAGAGAGGCACACTGTGGGATTTGAGGGTCGATGCTCGTGTTGCAGGTGGTCTGTGGAAAGCTTTACTCAAATTCGCCACTGGCATCCACCAAGTTCGCCAAACGGCAACTGCAAGTGAATCATGGTCATGAAGAGTCTCACACGCATTTCCGCAAGGGGGACGCCCCTTCTCACTAGGCTGGGCGCCCAAAGAAAGTAGCCACGGGCACCCCAACAAAACAAACAACTTTGACAATGCACTTGTGAACACTGGATCGCCGGATGTCTTCTGGTGTGGGGTGGGCGGCGTGGGCAGGGTATGGGGTGTGGGCGGGCTAAACCCTAAACCCTAAACCCTAAACCCTAAACCCTAAACCCTAAACCCTAAACCCTAAACCCTAAACCCTAAACCCTAAACCCTAAACCCTAAACCCTAAACCCTAAACCCCAACTCCCTAAGTCAGATAAACACCTTCGAACCCCACAAGCCCTCAACTCCCTGAATTCCTAAACTCTATGAAGCCTAGAAGCCCTGTAGTTCCTATTTCAGTCGTAAACACCATATGCCCTGAGCCTAAACCTGAAACCAGAAAACCTAAACCCTAGACCCTAAACCCGAGACCCTAACTTGCCATGATGGAAACGGAGGTACGGTGGACTGAGTCTTTGGGAAAGTTCGATGTCCAGCGACTCGGACATATGGGGGGGCTTATAGGGCTTAGGGTTTCAGGGTTTTCGGGTTTAGTTACCCTCAACCCTAAACCCTAAGCAGACGAAACCCTGAACCACCCTAAACCCTAACCCCATAAACCCTAAACCCTAAACCCTAGCCCCATAAACCCTGAATCCTGAACCCTACAGTTCAGTTTGGGATTATTCGGTGCTTCTTCAACGTATCTGTCCCAAAAGGAACCCTAAGGTAGGCCCTTGTCCATCTAGAGGACATTTAGAGCAACCCCCCCCCCCACCACATACATACATACATACATACATACATACATACATACATACATACATACATACATACATACATACATACATACATACATACATACATTTATATGTTTATATGTATATATATGTATATATGTATATATGATATTTCTGTTTGTGGTCAAAAGTCAGTCGACTATATGCAAATCTCCTGTCATTTGCTGTGACGGCCAGACCAACAGCCAGCAACGCTTGTGATTGAAGTCAGGGCGGCGGCAGGCCCGAGGAAGGTGGAACGGAAACCCAGACCCCTCAGCCGCATAATTTTTCCGAATTGTATGAAGCCCTCTACCATAAGAAGGCACATGTAAAGAACATTTGCATATATATATATACATATATATATATACATACATATATATATATATATATATATGTCTGTCACATATACATATATATATATACACCCTAGAATTTAATGCTACAAAGCCCTGTGCACCTCTAGCCCCAAATGCAAAATGCAGTCCCGCAAGCCCTAAACACGAAACCCTCAAGCCCCCTTACCACTGGAGATCACAACACCGGGACCTCGTTGCAGGGAGGGGCTCCACTGTGGAGTAACCATAGCTACGAGAGCCGCACATCACAAGGTCATAAAGGGCCGTATAGCATTGCTCTACTTACAGCAAGGGGAGCCTCCCTGTAGGACGTCCTAAACTCCATGGCCCGAAGAACAAAAACACCTACATCCTGAAACCCTGACAAGCCGATCCGTGCACGACCCCGCGCACATCAAAGCACTCATCCCTCCCGCCCCCGAGGCAAGAGTGCCTCTTTGGCGACTGCCTCATCTCTGCGGCCCCTTTGTTCGGATGAACGAGATCCGTGTAGAGTTTACTTGGGGTTCTTAGTAGACCGGTGGTACCCTTCACCCTTTTTGGACTCTGGGTTTCCTTATCAAGTAACCAAGCCAAAAAAGGGTGGCCTTATTGTGAGAATGTTACCGGGCTACCAAGGGTTTAGGGTTGGCTATTGCGGTGACATTGGAAGAGATATAGCTCTCAGGGCTTGGCGGGGTGGTTGCGGGGTGTATACGAGGTTTGAAGACCTGCTTGCTGCCGTCTGGTTGCAGAATACTCCTGATCACGCTTCCGAGGTTTCCCAATACTGCTAAATCGCAAGGAGGGGCCCCCTTAGCTAGTTAAGGGACTTCTTGCCTGACCTTCACTTCTTCCCAAGTAAGGGTCCGTGTAACTCGAGTCATTCTATGTCATGTATCGCGAGGGGGAACCTCCGTAGGGGTCCTGTAGCATGAAGTCATGTCCATTCCTTACATGAGTGGCCTAAACCCTATAGAGGTAATGGGGGACCCTCTTAAACGAAAGGGATTTTGTGGAGAAGGCGCGGGCGGGGGGGGGGGGGGGGGCCTAAACATAATGCCTGCTTTTTTTTTGTCCAGCGCCTGAAGACCCCCAAATAGGCCCATCATCTTGATCAGCTCTGAGCTGCGAAGCCTGCCGAGGCTTTCATGAGCTATGCCGGTCCTTTCGGCGCGCCCTTTGCCCTGCATTTTGTGTTGCCTTGGGTCTTGCATCATGAGGTTTAGGGTTTAGGGTTTAGGGTTTAGGGTTTAGGGTTTAGGGTTTAGGGTTTAGGGTTTAGGGTTTAGGGTTTAGGGTTTAGGGTTTAGGGTTTAGGGTTACCCCAACCCTAAAAGCCTCAACCTTGGAATGGGGTGTAGAGACGCTTCAGATGTCTGCTTCTGTCCTGGCAGCAGTGACTGCTTGCCAGGGAGCCCAATGCCCCTCAACTGAGGAAGGTATGAATTTGAGAACGACGGTCCACGCGAAACCCGAAACCTAAGCCCCTCAACCCTAAACCCTCTTCCCATTCAGCTTGTTGGGGCTCAGGCCTGTTAGGATGCAGGGTTCAGGCCTCGTCTCAGGGAAGTTTCACTTCTGGGTTCCCCCCCCCCCCCCCCCCCAGTTTGGAGTCAGGCACGGCATAGGGTTTAGGTTTAGGGTTTAGGTTTAGGTTTAGGGTTTAGGGTTTAGGGGGTTTAGGGTTTAGGGTTTAGGGTTTAGGGTTTAGGGTTTAGGGTTTAGGGTTTAGGGTTTAGGGTTTAGGGTTTAGGGTTTAGGGTTTAGGGTTTAGGGTTTAGGGTGGTTGCAGGGTTTCAGGGTTTCAGGGTGTCAGGGTTTCAGGGTGTCAGGGTTTCAGGGTGTCAGGGTTTCAGGGTTTCAGGGTTTAGGGTTCGGGGTTTGGGGTTTGGGGTTTGGGGTTTAGTGTTGTGCCCTCTCTCCCCCTCCCTCCCCCGAACTCCCCCAAGGTTCCCCCTAATTAGGAACAGCTACAGGGTGGGGCCCCCTAGTTATAAGTAGAGTTATAAGGGCCCTAAATTGGGTTATAAGGACCCTAAGTTAGGTTATAAGTCCCTTAACTACAATTAGTATAGTAAGGGGGCCCCACCCTGTAGAGTTCATTTCACCCGGAAGGTTCATGATCGTCATGGCATGGGTGTCTTCGCAGGCTGTTGAGGCGTAGGCCATTGAAACCCCGAAGGCCTAAAACCACTAAACCCTCAACCCTCAACCCCAAACCCTAAACCCTAATCCCCAAACCCTATAAACTCTATAAACCCTATAAACCCTTTAAACCCTATAAATCCTATACACCCTATAAACCCTATAAACCCTATAAACCCTATAAACCCTATAAACCCTAAACCCTACATATATATATATATAGACCCCAACTCGAAGCCGAAAGAAGGCTCAGAACGGGCTTCTCCCCCCCCCCCCCCCCCCCCGCCCTATTTTGGGGAATGCGCAAAGTCTTTGTGCAGGTACCGGAGCCCGACACAGCACGGGTTTAGGGTTTAGAGTTTAGGGTTTGGGGTTTGGGGTTTAGGGTTTAGGGTTTGGGGTTTGGGGTTTAGGGTTTGGGGCTTGAGCACCGCACGCTTCTTAGGCTCTACCGAGATGAGCTGGTGGGCAGTGAGTGGATGGCATCGGTGAAGGAGAAGGCACCACTTCGATCTGGGTTTCGGGTGTTAGGGTTCAGGGTTTAGGGTTCAGGGTTTAGGGTTTAGGGTTTTGGGGTTTAGGGTTTACGGCTAACCCTATAGAAGCCCTACATCGTAAGTACAAAGGCCCGATTTGGTGGGCTCTTAGGGGCTCAAGCAGCCCTTGGCGTGGGTCCCTAGGAAGCGCATTGCAGGGTTCTAGGGTTTAGGGTTTAAGGATATTGTGGGGTTGAAGGTTTAGGGTTTGGGAGTTTTGTATTCAAGGATTTTCGGGTTTTGGCCTTAGGATTGAAGGGTTTTAGGGTTTAGGCTTTAAGCCTGGGTCTTCTACACCTTGCACCCCATGCCTCAGTCGTAAGCAATGGTCGGCTTAGGGTAAGGAAGGAGCAACCTCTACAGTCCAGGGATTAAGACTCGTACCCCTGACGTTGTACTCGTAAAGGTTCCCCTTACTGTGCTCCGAGTATGTCCCTTATGTTCTTTCAAAGATCTTAAGAACATTGTTTCCTTAAACCCACGTGTACAACCTTAAGGATTCAAGGTACAATCCCTAGATAAAGCAAGCCGAGAGTACAAAACATGTCAAGCAAGGCGCCCAGGGACTGGGTTTATTTTGGGGCTTGGGGCTCAGGGCTTCGGGTTTAGGGTTTAGGGTTTAGGGCTACTAGGCGCTTTCGGCACAAGGAGCGCCATGCCCTGCAAGTTCTATGGCTTGGGCTGGACTGGCCTGCAGACCTCCCCTTTGATTTGAGGGGCCAAGCAGGAGTTCTTTACGAACACCTCCACCGCTGGATGAGACCCAGCCACGGGCAAGATCTCCTTGTCCGACGTTGCGCCATGTTGCGCCTCCAACAACATGTTCGGAAAGCTCGCAATCACTATGGCGGTCCATAAGGAATAGGTACCCAGGACTCATACTCTTTTTTTCTAGTGGTACTGCAAATGCATGACGACCCGAAAAGTTTGTGGTTTAGGTTCTAGGATCCCCGGCAAGCTCGGCAATCTCCATGGCGGTCCATACCCTAGCGAGAGGGTCAACTTGTGTAGTACCATCATGGAACTAGGCACCCAGGAACCATACTAAATAGGTGTGTGGGGTACCTGATTTTCATATTGGTACTACATGTGCATGAGGACGCGAAAAGTTTGGGGTTTAGGTTCTAGGATCTTGGGTTTACAGGGTTACCAAAATCTGTGTAGCATAACCCTGAACACCAAGACCTACTTACGAAGTTCACTGCTTACTCTTTTCCCGAGCCTGCACAGTTTACGAGGCTTGTCGCTTATTTGATCAGTTTTTTTAGTTTGGGCTGGGGGGGGGGGGGTTAGGGAATTCTAAAAGCCCCAACCCCGCCTGCCAACACTGAGTCCTAACCCCTACACCCTAAACCGGGTTTAGGGTTTAGGGTTTAGGGTTTAGGGTTTAGGAGGGTTTAGAATTTAGGGTTTATGGAATCCCTATATGGGGTTTCCGAAAATCCGGGGGGATCCCTTTGAACGAACCTATTCTATTTCGGGTATAAAAGTGGTAACCCTATGTTGGGAAATACCCAACCCTAAACCCTAAATAAACCCTGAACAAGCCCTGAACCCTGAACCTTGGAAGGAAGTTCCGGTGACGGCGACCTACTCCTTCGCCAGCTTCCTTGCGAAGCCAACGGAAGTGCGCGAGTGGAAGCTGGGGTGCATGTGGGGTTTAGGGTTTAGGGTTCAGGGTTTAGGGACTGGATGTTCGTACCAGGGACCCTGATGCAGGATTGTTCAACACCCTCTCCCCTAGTTAGGCGTAGCGTTCGTGTCCACAGGGTGTTAGGGTTTGTGCAGTTGAGGCACTGGGTTTTTTGAAATGCTTTCGCGGGCTTCAATGGGGTTTTGACAAGTACATTACGGTCCCCCGTTTACCCCACAGAGTATTCCTTCGAATGACACCAGCAATGGGAAAAGAAACTATAGTTTAAGACTCTGCAGCATGTGCTATGGCCCGAAGACAGCACTCCTTCTTGCGGGCGCAGCATAAACCTTGCACAATCCCAAATGCATAGGTGGGGGCATGGGGGCGCAATTCTGCCCTAAACCCAAAACCCTAAACCCTAAACCCTAAACCCTAAACCCCGAAACCCCGAAACCCCGAAACCCCTAAACCCTAAACCCTAAACCCTAAACCCTAAACCCTAAACCCTAAACCCTAAACCCTAAACCCTAAACCCTAAACCCTAAACCCTAAACCCTAAACCCTAAACCCTAACCTAAACCCTAAACCCTAAACCCTAAACCCTAAACCCTAAACCCTAAACCCTAAACCCTAAACCCTAAACCCTAAACCCTAAACCCTAAACCTTTGCCTAATCCCAAAAGCTTCGGGCCTCCGAGGAACCTCCAGAGGCTACCAGCAGACGACTTCAGCACCGAAAACGGCGTGGCATGGCCAGGTTACGGAGCTTTGGGATGTTTAGGGTTTAGGGTTTAGGGTTTAGGGTTTAGGGCATACAAGGTTTTGTGAGATGAGGGTTACGGGCCTATTTGGGCTTGCACAGGGATGATTCTCGTGTTCTCATAGGGTGCTGTCCTTGGGGGTTATCGTCTTGGTAGTATGTCCTTCAAGGGTTATCGTCCCAAGGACTAAAGTGTGCAAAAGGGTACCAAATTTTCGGCATGCTCGGGTTCTTCTTTTTCAGGTCTCGGGGTTCATGGTTTAGGCTTGGGGGTTCATACAGATCCTACCAAGTTCAAGACGTCAGCAACCAGGTGTGCTAAGTGCACCTTATCAAAGGTTGAGGGTTAAGGGGCTAGGGCTTAGGGTTCCCATTGAGGGATTTCAGATTCGACCCACGTCACCCTCCACCCTCTGCTTTTGACGCACAGCCCCATTCCACACCTCTGCACCTAGTTCCGGGTTCTTGTTATACGGAACTTAGAATATCTACTGATTCGATCGATACCGGTATATTGAGGCTTGTTTCTTGATAGTGCATTGGTAGTATTGATGGTATAACATATTTTGTTAACTTATCTTGGGGTGCAAATGAACCCTGAAGTTGTGGTCATCGACCCTAAACCCTAAACCCTAAACCCTAAACCCTAAACCCTAAACCCTAAACCCTAAACCCTAAACCCTAAACCCTAAACCCTAAACCCTACACCCTACACCCTAAACCCTAAACCCTAAACCCTAAACCCTAAACCCTAAACCCTAAACCCGAAGCCGTTCCTGAGGTCCTGGTGACGAAGAGCCGGCGCTTCCCGCTCATGATCGATCCGCAAAACCAGGCAGTGGGGAGCTTTTTGAGTTTAGGGTTTAGGGTCTGGGGTTTAGGGTCTAGGGTTTCGGGTTTCGGGTTTGGGGTTTGGTGTTTAGGTTTTGGGGTTGAGGTAATTTAAGGTTAGTGCCTAATAATGTGTAGGGCTTACGGCATTCTAATGGTGAGGGTTTACTGGTGTTTAGGGTTTAGGGTTTAGGATTGAGGTACTTAGGGGTTCATGGTGTTCAGGGATTGGGGTTGAGATATTGAGGGGTTAAAGATGTCTAGGGTTATTGCTTGGGGTTGAGATATTGAGGGGTTACATGTATTTCGGGATTAGGGGTTTAGGGTTTAGGGTTGAGGGTTTATGTCTGGGGATTGTTTAAGGGGGCCTAAACCCTAAACCCTAAAACCTATAAACCCTAAACCCTAAACCCTAAACCAAAAGCCCTAACTCATGGAGGCCAACACCTGGGTGCGGAAGATGGAGGAGTCGCGGCAGCTGAAGGTCTTCGATCCGAACTCCAAGGCAGCGCGTGGGTTTAGGGGTTTAGGGGGTTAGGGGTTTAGGGTTGGGTTTAGGCATTTCGGGTTTAGGGTTTCGGGTTTAGGACCTCTACGGTTGAGGGTTGCGAGGTTCATATCTTCCCTTGCACCCTCCGCCCATCCCCCTACCCGGGTTGAGGTGCTTAGGCTTCTTTAGGGTTTATAGGGTTTTGGGTTTAGGATTTAGCGTTTAGGGTTGTAGTGCTTAGGGCTTGGGGTTTATAGAGTTTAGGGTTTAAGGCTTAAGCTTCAGCCTTTCGGGCTGACGGGGGGGGGGGGGGGGGGGGCGTCTGGCTTCCCACAGAGGCGAAGGTTTCCTCATGAGGGGGTCGTCTTCGAATTTATATGGATCCTAACCCTATATCCCCAAACTCTAAGTCCTAAGGTCCTAAACCCTGATTATCCTAAGGTCCTAAACCCTGATTAAACTGGTCTTTGGGTTCAGAAGAGGGCTGTCGGGCTTCAGAAGATGTAGGTTTCAGAGCTTGGGGGCATGTAGGTTTTAGGGGTTAGGGTTTAGGGTTTGGGGTTTAGGGTTTAGGGCTAAGAGGTTTCTGTGTTCTGTGCAGGAGTTTGATGAGTTGAGGGGATTTGGAAGAAGTTTTGGGTGGTGTGGGCACTGTAGGGGTTTTTGCAGCAATTTAGAGCTTCAGGGCTTTGGGGAGATGGGTTTGGGGTTTAGGGTTTAGGGTTTAGGGCTTGAGGTTATCAGCCTTAAACCTTAAATCCTAACCATGAGCCTGATAAAGAGCGTTGGTGCCATGCAGTGGGACTCAGGGTCGTTTCTAGGTAGGTTCAGGGTTTCGGGTCTAGGGTTTGGGGTTTAGGGTTTAGGGTTTAGGGTTAGGGTTTAGGGTGTTTTGGGGTTTGGGGTGTAGGGTTCTTAGAGTTTTTGACGCTGGAGTCGAACAATCCCTGGAGCCCAGCTACCCCGGATTCCTAACTTCTCCATGCATTGTGTTTAAAGGCGCCCTTGTTTTCCTAACCCGCAAACCCTACAACGCATCTCTAAACCTCCAAACCTCTAAACCTCTAAACCTCTAAACCTCTAAACCTCTAAACCTCTAAACCTCTAAACCTCTAAACCTCTAAACCTCTAAACCTCTAAACCTCTAAACCTCTAAACCTTCGAGGACATCATGAAGTCTTTGGAGCGGGCCATTGAGTTCGGATCCCCGGTGTTGTTGGAGAACGTGGCAGAGGTGCCGGCCGCACCCTAAACCCTAAACCCTAAACCCTAAACCCTAAACCCTAAACCCTAAACCCTAAACCCTAAACCCTAAACCCTAAACCCTAAACCCTAAGCCCTAAACCCTAAACCCTAAAGCCCCCAAGATCTCAACCCCCCCCCCCCCCCCCCCAAGAAAAAAGAAAAAAACGGATCATGAAGCTACGGGCTCAGGGTTGAGGGCTTGACGGGTTAGAGCTCCGAAAGTTGGGACACCTCTTTAGGGTGTAGGTTTTTTTGGGTTTGGGGCTCAATGTTGTCTGCTGATTAGTGTGCCCCCCCCCCCCCCTCCCCCAACAAATGGATTCCGCTTTTTAGTGTGGTGGGGGGGGGGGGGGGGTCTGGCTTTATATGATTTTAAACAGGATGAGTTTATATGAATTCAAAAAGGGACCCATATGATTTTAAACGGTATGAGCTCGTATGAATTCGGGATCCATATGAGTTAAAAAAGGGGTGAGCTCGTATGAGTTAGGGGATCCATATGTTTTTAATAGGGGTGAGACTGCATGAAATTAAAAGGGATCCATACGATTTTAAGAGGGATGAGTTGATATGAATTTAAAAGGGATTATATGATGTCAGAAGGGATCCACATGATTTTAAACGGGATGAGTTTATGTGAATTTAAAGGGGATCCATCTATCCCAGCCAAGCCAGCCCGCAAAAAAAAAAAAAAAGTATAATTCCGGGGGAGCAAACTTTTTATATTATACCGCATTCGGGCAGCTGCTGGACTACCACCTTGAAATTTGATTGCCCGGCCTCGGTACAAAAGAAGTTAATCAGGAAATCTTAGTTTTGGGGCTGGCCTGGAGACTGAAGATTTCAGGCGACAACCTCAGGCCTCAAGGTTTCAGGCTTTAAACCTTTGGTCTTTGGTTTCTCAGGCTCAGTTCAAGAAGCGATTTTCTAGACAACAGCCTTGCTAAAATTGTGCATCACCCGATTTTTTTTCACAATTCCGGGGGACCTCCTCAAATAGACCCCCCTGAATAGTTTTTGGCTTTTTTTGCACAATTCCGGGGGAGTACACAAAAATCGGGAGACAACCTTAGGATTTAAGGATTATAGGGTTTAGGGTTTAGGATTTAAGGATTATAGGGTTCAGGGTATGTTGTAGGATTTAAGGATTATAGGCTTGTAGGGTTCAGGGTTTAGGATTCAGGGTGGTAGGGTTTAGGGTTGAGGTTGGCTCTTGCCCTCCCAAGAGGAGCTGGACCCTAAACCCTAAACCCTAAACCCTAAACCCTAAACCCTGGGTTTAGGTTGGCTCTTGCCCTCCCAACAGGAGCTGGACCCATCACTTGAGCCGATCCTCGCCAAGAACATCATCGACAGCGGCGGAGGCAACGTCTGAAATCATTCTGAGAAGCCCCAGCCCAAAGGATCCATGTACCTATGTAGTATATGCTTGGGCCTTAAAGGGGTTCCTATGTAGTAGCTTTAAGGCCCAAGTATATACTATATAGATACATGGATCCTTTGGGCAGAGAGAGTCTCTTGTCTCCGGTTTCATAGGACCCTACATCCTAAATTTTAAACCCTAAACCCTAAATCCTGGCCTCCTTGTATGTGTTCGCCAGGCAGTCTCTCCATCAAGGTGGGCGACAACGTCTTGGACTACAATCCTCAGTTCATGCTGCTTGGCTCTTCCGGATAATTCGGCTTCACCTTTCGGCGGTACTTCGGCTTCGCCGTTCGGCGTCAGGGGGACGATTCGGCGTCACGCATCGGACATGTGGCATGACAATGCGGCGACGCCTTCAGCAATCCCAGCCTTGTTGAATTCGGCTTCGGCTTCAGGTCGATTCATGCGCCCCTTGCGTGCGCTGCTTTCTGCAGGAACTACCACGAAATGTTCCGAACGCAGAAGCCTTGAAGCCTTAAAGCCTTGTTTATCCCTAAACCGCTAAAGACGTTAAGTTGCTAACGCCACGAAAGCTTGGAATCCAAAGGTGCTACACCTTATCCCTGTGCTCTTTTATAGGGATCCGAGAATAGGTAACCTTAAACCCCTAAACCCTTTTGGGACATACCTTATAGTTGTCACAGCCCCCAAACCTTTCTTCTGAGCCCGAACCTTCTACACCTAAACCCCTACACCGCAAACATGCTCTAATCCTTCTGGGGGTCTAGGGTCTATAGGGCTTAGGGTTTAGGGTTTGGGATTTAGGGTTTAAGCTTGAAGGTTTGGGGAACCCAGCTTGTCAACACCCCCAAGCTCCCAATGCGAGTTCCGAAGGTTCTACATCACCACGAAGTTGTCCAATCCGCACTACACCCCCGAGGTCTCCACCAAGACGACCATCGCCCTTTGGGCTTCGAGAAGGTTTAGGGGTTTGGGGTTTGGGGTTTCGGATTTAGGGCTGGGGTTTAGGGTTTAGGGTTTAGGGTTTAGGGTTTAGGGTTTAGGGTTCAGGGTGCGAACCGGGGAAGCTCTGGGAGCTTGTGAGGGCTTGGTGTTGAGGGCTTTGAACGTTCGCGGTGTGTAAGGGACCAGACGCAGCAAGTACTCCTAAGTTGTGGCGCTCTAAGCCCTAAGCGCTAAACCCTAAGCCCTGAACCCCACCTGCAAACTTGTCCTGCCACTTCAAAATCGCCCTAAGCCCGAAACCCTTCAACCCTGACTAGTCCGAGACCTTAAACCCGAAACCCTAAACCCGAGACTTCAAGTGGCTTTTCCGCGGTCCAGGGCTTGGGGTTTAGGGTTTTTCGGGCCCCGGCACGCGGGATGAGTAATCGGGGGTCCTTGGGTGAGGTGATCCAAGGGCGGTACCCCGGATACCTGAAACCCCAAACCCGAAACCCGAAACCCCCTGAACCCTAAACCCTAAACCCTAAACCCTAAACCCTAGACCCTAAACCCTAAACCCTAAACCCCAAACCCTAAACTTTCACAACCTTGAGGTGAACTTCATCGTGGTGCTGGATGGCCTCACAAACCAGCCCCTTGGGTGGCATTTAGGGTTTTGGGTTTTGGGTTTTTGGGTTTTAGGGTGTAGGGTTTAGGGTTTAGGGTTCTAGGGTTTAGGGTTTAGGGTTTAGGGTTTGGGTTTTAGGGTTTAGGGGTAAGGGTTTAGGGTTCAGGGTTTAGCTCGGGAGTTCAAAAAAAGGGTCTTTTGAAGAGGAGCTGCTACAGTGCTGCCACAGCGCCAGAAAGAAGGTACAGGTCTGGCTCCCGAGCCACCACCGGGTTTAGAGTTTTAGGGTTTAGGATTTAGGGTTTAAGGGTTTAAGGGTTTAGGGATTTAGTTTTAGGATTGTGGGGCTTAGGGTGTTGGGGTTTTGAAGTTTGGGGTTAAGGGGTTAAGGGGTTAAGGCGTTTAGGGGTGTGTGTGTGTGTGTGTGTGAGTGTGTGTGTGTGTGTGTGTGTGTGTGTGTGTGTGTGTGTGTGTGTGTGTGTGTGAGTGTGAGTGTGTGTGTGTGTGTGTGTGTGTCTGTGTCTGTGTCTGTGTCTGTGTCTGTGTCTGTGTGTGTGTCTGTGTCTGTGTCTGTGTCTGTGTCTGTGTCTGTGTCTGTGTGTGTGTCTGTGTCTGTGTCTGTGTCTGTGTCTGTGTCTGTGTCCGTGTCCGTGTCCGTGTCCGTGTCCGTGTCCGTGTCCGTGTCCGTGTCCGTGTCCGTGTCCGTGTCCGTGTCCGTGTCCGTGTCCGTGTCTGTGTCCGTGTCTGTGTCTGTGTCTGTGTCTGTGTCGGTGTCCGTGTCCGTGTCCGTGTCTGTGTGTGTGTGTGTGTGTGTCTGTGTCTGTGTCTGTGTCTGTGTCTGTGTCTGTGTCTGTGTCTGTGTCTGTGTCTGTGTGTGTGTGTGTGTTTTTTGTGCTTGGGTGAAGTCGGGTATGAGGGTTCCGGGTCAAGACTTTTTGGGTTGAGGAGATCTTCGAGACAAAAAACAACGCCTGCCACGAAGAGGCCGACCTCTCCCCACATCACCTCGGATGGCCGACTCACCGACCTCGCTCTTATGTCGTTCTGACACGAAACCTTTACACGCTTGGGCGATGATGGCCTTGATGCTTATCAGGCGTTTGTTGAAGTGTTCCGAACTTGGAGAGTGGTGCGATGGCCTTGTCCCATGCCAGCAAGGACATGTTTTGCGAACGGCTGTATTGTGTACTTCGGTGATAGTCACGGAATTCCTAAACCCTAAACCCTAAACCCCAAATCCCTAAACCCCCAACCAGCAGCACCAGACTCTCGAGTCGAGAATCGCCGCCTTGCGATACATTGTGTGATGAGAGCCCGGGAGCAGCTGATCATGGCTGAGAACTCCATGAGCTCCTTTATACGCTCTTAGGGTTTAGGGTTTGGGGTTTAGGGTTTAGGGTTTAGGGTCTTAGAGGTTTAGGATCTTGGGAGTTTCAGGCTTGAACGTTTTGCCAAAACGCGCTGAGAGCCCACCGATCTACCAAAGGTCTTGCAACTGTTGCCTGCTAAACCCTAAATCCTAAACCCTAAACCCTAAACCCTAAACCCTAAACCCTAAACTTATGCAGGTTGGGTTTTACCCCCCCCCCCCCACTTTAAGAGGCCCTAGAAGAAACTGATTGGGTGCTGCTCCAGGCGTCTGAAGGGCAGTTGTTTGAAGGATCAGGAAACTCAGCAAGCAGGTTGGCCGCAACGTGGGATGCCATAATCCCAAGGTTCAGGGTTTAGGGTTTAGGGTTTAGGGTTTAGGGTTTAGGGTAGCTGCAACCCAGTTACTAAGCCCCCCTAAGCTCTAAACGAGGTTGCGTGGCCATTTAATATGGTCCCTTAATATGGTCCCCTATCTTCTTGAAAGGACTCTGAAGTAGGGCGTTTGAGTTTTACAGGGGTATTTAGGAGGCACATAGTGAGGGTTCCCCCAATTAAGGATCCATAGTAAGGGAGCATCACTTCTCGCCTCGTCGCGTTTTCGGACCGGGGGCTTTAGGGTTTAGGGTTCAGGGTGTAGGGTTTAGCGTTTAGGGTTTAGAGGATTTAGAGTTTAGGGATGTAGGGATAACAGTGCTTTTCAAGGAGGGGGCCCATGCTAACCAACTATAGTTCAGGGACTTGCAACCTAAGTTAGGATCCTTACAACCCAATTTAGGGCCCCTACATCTCTACTTATGACTAGCGGGGGGCCCCTCCTCAACCAGAACTAGCCAAGCCAAGCCCTAAACCCTAAACCCTAAACCCTAAACCCTAAACCCTAAACCCTAAACCCTAAACCCTAAACCCTAAACCCTAAACCCTAAACCCCACACACCAAATCGCAGCCTCCAAGTAAGTCCCGTTCCTCAGGCTGCTGGGCGTCATTGTCCGCAGCGAGGACCCACGACTCGAGGCGCGTTCCCTTAGGCATTAAGAACCCGAGTCTGGGGCTTAGAGTTTGAGGTGTTATGGTGCAGGGGTAACGGCCGGTAAGGGTTTAAGGGTTGAGGGGTTAAGGGTTTAGGGGTTTAGGGTTTTTTGGGCTTATGGGTTTTGGTTTTGCCTCGGATACAAGCTTGTTCTGAGGGAGCCCAACAGGGACCATAGCAGGTGAACCCCGAGATGAGGGCTTTACACTTCCTATAGTCAGCTAGGATGCCCAGTAGTACCCTTATTCCCTTTTTGGTAGGTTTAAGTTCCCTCATAAACCCATTTAAGCCAAAAGGGCACCCTTTTTCATCCTAGGTTACTGGGCAACCTAGTCAGGGAGCACTTTTGTTTCTATGGTGAGCCAGGTTGGAGCCTCAGTGCTACCTAAACCCTAAGCCCTAAGCCCTGAACCCTCAACCCTAAACCCTACACCCTAAACCCTAAACCCTACACCCTAAACCCTAAACCCTAAACCCTAAACCCTAAACCCTCAACCCTAAACCCTAAACCCTAAACCCTAAACCCCAAATCCCAAGCACCAACTCGGTAGCTTGGTGACTTTGGAGTGGCAGTTTAAAGATTTGCACCGTGGGACCCTTTGGGAGCACGAGGGCCCTCACACCACTTCATGGAAGAATTGGGGGTTTCGGGTTTAGGGTTTGGGGTTCAGGGTCTAGGGTTTAGGATGTTTAGGGGTTCGGAGTTTAGGACTTTTTTGGGGGGTTTGGGGATTAAGTGTTTAAGTTCAGGGCTTAAGACTTGTCGGGTTATCGGGTTCGGGGTTTTTAGGGTTTGAGCACTCCATCGACTTGGAGCGCAAGTTCTGCACCAGGAGGAGAAGAACAAGCTTGTCTTCCAGGTGGCCAAAGGCCGGTTGCACTGCTCAGCATAGAATGTGTTGGGGTTTCGGGTTTAGGGTTTTTAGGGTTTCGGGTTTTTAGGGTTTAGGGTATAGAGTTTGGGGTTTAGGGTCGCGGGTCTAGTGTTTAGGGTTTGTATGCGGTGTTTGGAACGTTGGAGGTACGCCCTGGACCCTAGACACAAGGGTTTACAGCTGAGGGCTTCGGGGCTCAGATGAGGTTGGCGAAAGGTGTAGGAAGAGGCTTGGCTTGTTGTTAGGGTCTGGGGGGTATTTGGTTTAGGGGGTTAAGGGGTTTTGGTCGTTTAGGTTTACGGGGGCGCCATCAGCCAACACCCGGCTACCTTCAGGCTTTTGCCTGGGACGCCACCTTAGATAGGACGATGAGGACGTAGATTCTATGTTAAGGCTCCGAAAGTAAAGGTGTTTCGGGGTGGTCTAAGGTAAAGCCTATCCCTCAGACCCGGCTCGCGGATTCACATTGCATCAAGACGCAAAACCCACAAGCCCACAAGCCCCTAAGCCCTAACTTAAAAAGATCCCGACGAAACAGCGAAATCTGAATCCAAGGAAGCCCAACGCCCCAAGCATTTTGCCTTGCGCCCCCAAGATCTGCAGGCAGGAACCGCTTGGTAGAGCTGGAGAACGACATTCTGAGACTCCTCGCCGAGACAAAGGCCACCGATGAACACAGCATGTGCATCCGAAACTTTGGGTTGCGTGGGCTACCCGGCGAGTCTGATAAGGGGTGTGTTGGCTTTAGGGTTCTTGGGTGTAGGTTTCGGGTGCATGCCTAGACCGTAAACCCTAAACCCCTAAACCCCTAAACCCTAAACCCTGAACCCTAAAAAAAAACAAAACCTACCCCTGGTTAGGGCTCCCTGCTGGACGACTTGAGCTTGATCGACACCCTGCAGGAGTCAAAGGTCATCAGTTCCTCCTCTGCAAGGTTTGGGGTTTAGGGTTGAGGGTTTAGGGTTTAGGGTGTTGTGGTTCAGGGTGTGAAGGGTTTGTTGAAGGGATTGTTGAGGGGCTTGTTGAAGGGTTGAAGGGTTCGCGCTTTTCAGGGGCTAGGTTCGCGTCCCAGGTCGTGAGAGCGCGCCGCCCCTGCCAGAAAGGTTGTGATGTGGTGTTTGGGGTTTAGAGGTTTAGGGGTTTGGGGGTTTGGGGGTTTGGGGGTTTGGGGGTTTGGGTTGGGGCGTAGGGTTGAGGGTTTCTGGTTGAAGGGCCTCAAGGTGCTTTAGGGGTTTAATGTCTAGAGGTGTAGGGTTTGGGGCTTTAGATTTAAGGCTGCGAAGCTTGAGGTGTTCAGGTGTGTCGCTGTCGTGTCTTTGCGGCCTTTGGGGTTTGCGCTCTTGGGCGCAAGGCTTCGAGCAGAAGGTTTAGGGTCTAGGGTTTCGGGTTTAGGGGAAATTCTGAGGCGAAGGGAGTAATAGGGCATTCGTGGGCTAACACCAGTCATCATGGCCGTACTATGCGACTGGCTCAGTTCAGCACAATGGTGAGGAGATTTGCTGAAGACAAAGCCATGTTCTGCATTTTCTCCCTCAGGGGACATGGGGCCAGCACGAAACCCTAAACCCCAAATTACTAAACGTTAAACCCTAAACCCTAAACCCAAAACCCAAACCCAAAACCCTAAGCCTCAGCTCCCGAAGCCTGCGTTTAAGCCGGGGGCGCCTGGAACGCTGAGCCGAGGTACACAGACCACTGAGCAGGTGGCCATTGCCGAGCAGCCACTTGAGCGGGAAGCAGGGTTTAGGGTATAGGGCTTCAGGAGTTTAATTCGTATAGGGTTTCGGCAAATAGGGGTTTAGGAGTGTAGGCGTTCGGGTCTCGGGGTGCTGGGTTTAGGGGTTTAGGAGTTTAGGCGTTTAGGTTCGGAGTTTGAGGGTTTAGGGGTTCAGGGTTTACGGACTTACGGGTTGAGGCGTTTGGGTTTCGGGGTTTAGGGTATACGGGTTCAGGTCTAGGTCCCCCAAGGGCCCGAAGCTATGTGTCCAATCCACCTTTATTGCAGTATTTCTTGGTAGCCAAGTGGTACCCTTTTGCCATGCATTTTTGCTTCAAGGTTCCCTTCAAGAGTAACCAAACGTCAACGAGAGGGTACCCTTATTATGGAATTATGGTTTCTGGGCTACAAAGATACTAAACCCCAAGATACTAAACCCTAAACCGCTAAACCCTAAACCCTAAACCCTAAACCGGAGTTCTCAGAGTCGATCTTCAGGACCATGATCAAGATCGACGCGGCGAGAGCCTCTTGACCGGCAAACATGCAGCGCCCGCTTGTGCGTGGTGCTCCCTAAACCGTAAACCCTCCCTAAACCCAAAAACCACAGAGCCCAGACACCCCCCCCCCCCCCCTGCTTCAGCCCTTCCTTAAGCGGGTCTCTGCTTTTCTTTGCAGGGTCTCTCAGGAATCTCAGGCCTGGGTTTAAGCTTTAGGGTTTAGGGCCTACGTGCACCAATGTGCTTGGAAGACGTCCAGGTCCCTGGGGGCACTTCCCTTGCTTCTAATTTCTTCGCGGGTCAGGGTTTAGGATCCTGTGGAAATCTAGGTGACGCCAAGGAAGCCGCAGGGAACACCCTACCAACCTCCCTACAAACCATAAACCCTAAACCCCAACCCTGCAAGGGGGCCCCCTCCCCCTAGTTGTAAGTAGAGCAAATAGAGACCCCAACATGGGTTACAAGGATCCTAACTTAGGTTAGAAGTCAAGTCCCCTTAACTATAGGCGTATGGTAGTGGGGCCTTCGTTGCACACCCTGTAAACCCTACATCCCCTAGACACTAAACCCCAAAAACCCTGTTCCCTTCAGCCCAAACCCCTTCACCCTGTTCCTATAAACCCTATCTGTATCCCCAAGCCTTAAACCCTAAACCCTTTTCCTAAACCCTAAACCCTGAACCCTAAACCCTAAACCCTAAACCCTCTATAGGCAAGTGAAAGAGCTCAGGAGAACTACCGCCCCGCTGGACTGCGTTCTGCCGTGCTCTACTTCGCCCCTCGTCGCGTTTAGGGCTACAGGGTTCAGGATTTAGGGTTTAGGGTTTAGGGTTTGGGGTTTAGGGTTTGGGGTTTAGGGTTTGGGGTTTAGGGTTTAGGGTTTTGGGTTTAGGGTTTGGGGTTTAGGGTTTAGGGTATGTAGGGTTTACAGGGCTTATAGGGCTTAGGGGGCTGTTTGGGCTTCAAGGTTTAATTAGGGTTTAGGGTCGGCTGCTTTTAGTTTTTGGGTTTTTTGCGGTTTAGGGCTTGGGCTTTGGGCCCTTTAGGTGTCGGGTGCAGGGCTTGAGGTGTAGAACTTCGGGGGCCTCCTGTGGTCCACGTGACCCTCAGACCCCAAAACCTCAACAAGCCTGAACAAAGCCTAGAACCCAAAAACCAAAAAATGCTTTAGACCCCATACACCCCCAAACCCTAAACCCCAAACCCTAAACCCTAAACCCTCAAGCTTCCAGCCCTCAACCTTTATAAAACGATCCTGAATGGTCACATCTGCGAGCGTGTCATTACAGAAGGGCTTCAGGATTAGTTATCTAGGATGCCCAGTAGTACCCTTATTCCCTCTTTTGGGGGTTTAGGTTCCCTTATAAACCCCTTTAAGAAAAACAGGGCACGCTTTTTAAGCCTAGGTTACTGGGCAGCCTAGCTAAGGGATGAGGATTTAGTAGGGTTTTGCGTTCGGGGCTTGAATTTTCCTTGTTTTAGGAGAAGGGGAAGTTGTTGCAGCAAAACGCCGAGGATCGATAGGGGAGGCGCTGAAATGATAGGGTTATTTGATACGATAGGATAGAACTCCGGTAGGTGAAAACATGGAGAACGATAGGGGACGCGCCAATGCAAAACCAAGCATACACAAGTGATTTTGACGCCGATTCATATAGGTGTTCATTCATTTCATTTCCTTATATATGTCTTGTTGTATGGAGAATAGTGTAGAACAAATAAGTACATAGAATGAATAAATCATGCAAATTCTTATACACACACACACACATATATATGTTTGCATTCTGTATTTGCTCCGTTTTGTCAGTTGCTTTTGCATCTTCTATGCACACGTCTACACATCGATACCTTCTTTGCACCAAAGGCTGTCTCCAGGTAAAGCCCATGTTCTCAGCCACTGGACAGCGCGACCAGGTCTTGAACGATCTTGTGGCCATCGACCCCATGTACCAGCTACTTGCACTACGTGGAGCAGGGATGTTCAGAGTTTAAGGTTTTTATGGGGGTTCCGAACCCAACCCCAAAAACCCTAACTAGTTTGTCGCTACGCCGAGTGCCCGGAGATCGCACGGCTGCATGTTGGCCAGTTTTGTTCGTGATTGCATGCAGCTTGGGAAAAGTGTCGCGTCTTTGTACACCGTGACCCTTCAGAAAACTGAGGTTTGCCCTGGCAGCCTACGAGACCCTCTACGTGCAGAGCATCGAGAAGAGCGCTGAGAAGAAGATCTCTGTGGGAGGCCCTAAGACAGAGCCCGAAATCTTAAACTGGGTGCGGCTTCGTGCCTGCTTGAGATTCTGGATTGTGGTCTCCTGACCTCTTGTGTATGCATTGAGTCTTCTTGTGGTTTTGTTTAGGCATTTTTCAGCTTCTTTCAAAGGAACAAGCACCCCAAACCCTAAGCCCCAAATCCATCGCATGGGGTTTATGTGGTCCTGGGGTTTAGGGTTCAGGGTATAGTTATAGTTCCTAAGCCCTAAAGCCTAAGCCCTAAGGTAACTTGAAGGTTCATGAACATCACGACCGAGTAAAACTAGTTGCAGGTGGTTTGCTAGTCAGCCGCTTTACAGTTTGTGGTTCTAGATGGCTATAACTTACTTCAGAAAGTTAGTCCCCTGAGCCATGAACCTGGACACTAAACTCTAAACTCTAAACTCTAAACTCTAAGCCATAAGCCATAAACCCTAAACCCTAAACCCTAGACCCTAGACCCTAGACCCTAGACCCTAGACCCTAAACCCTAAACCCTAAACCCTAAACCCTAAACCCTAAACCCTAAACCCTAAACCCTAAACCCTAAACCCTAAACCCTGCACGGCTCCAGGCGTGGAGGAGCGCATAGAGGACCTCAATGCATTCCACGCCCTTGCAGTCTACAAGCAACTCTGCCAGCGCTTCGCGGAAGGTGTTTAGGGTTTAGGGTTTAGGATTTAGGATTTAGGGTTTAGGGCTACCATAAGTCGGGTTTAAGTTTTGGGGTTTAGTGGGCTTCTGTGAAGTTTACACCGTTTACCCTGAGCTCTGAAACTGAAGCCCCAAAGCCCAACCCCCTACCTAAACTCCTAAACCCTATACCGTCTATACCCTAACCAAAACCCTAAACCCCAAACCCCAAACCCCAAACCCCAAACCCCAAACCCCAAACCCTATGTGGGCTTCGTTCTGGCCTAAGGCCGAGCTCTTGAAGGATGTCCTGACACCCTTGCCAAATCCTAAACGCTCAACTCATAGGAGAAGCGAAAAGGGTAGGGTGAACAAAATAGAGTTCAGGGTTCAGCGTTTAGGGTTTTGAGTTTAGCGTTGAGGGTTTAGGGCTGAAGTATGGGCCCTTGTGTTTAGAGGGTATATAATTGGTTCCCTAATTTAGGGCCCATCTTGAGAGACCATGGAACTACCCGAAGCCACAAGGCTCCACGCAGGTTTCGGATGTTTGGGCCATCGAGAGCTGCACATGCAAAAAGACTTGAAACCTCCCGAAACCCCAAATCCTAAACCCTAAACCCTAAACCCTAAACCCTAAACCCTAAACCCTAGACCCTAGACCCTAAACCGTCAGCCCTGAACCCCGAACCTCCATTCTCTCATCCCTGGACCTAATTCCAACCCCTAAGCCGCTCAACCCCCGAAGAAATGCCGAACCCGAGCCCCCTGAACCCTAAACCCTAAACCCTAAACCCTAAACCCTAAACCCTAAACCCTAAACAGAGACCTAAGGTACGGCTGCCGCGCCATCTTCGAGCGCCACAAGCTTCTGCTGTCCCTCCACCTCTGTGCGTGACCCGGCTTGGTTCTTGGGCTTGGCCCTCAAGCCCTAAACCCTGTAACCCTAAACCCTGTAAACCCTGTAAACCCTGTAAACCCTGTAAACCCTGTAAACCCTGTAAACCCTGTAAACCCTGTAAACCCTGTAAACCCTGTAACCCTGTAACCCTGTAAAACCCTGTAAACCCTGTAACCCTGTAAACCCTAAACTCTGTAAACCTTGAACATGTTTGGGGCCGTTGCGGATCGCAGTTTCGAGGAGCTCCGAAGCCCTACACAACCCGAGCGTGAACCACTTGAATGGGTTTAGGGTTTAGGGTTTAGGGTTTAGGGTTCAGGGTTCAGGGATGTAGCGCTCTACACCCCCTCCCCCCCCCCCCCAAATGTTGCTCTTCATGCCAGGGATGTAAGGGCAAGTGTTTTGGGGCTTTGCTGTTTCTTTCCGGGGCTTGCAGGTTTACGGTCTAGGGATGATCTAGGCGATCTATTGTTAAGGGGACTTAAAAACCTAAGTCAGGACCGTTATGACCCTACTGAGGGCCCTTATGACTCTGCTTATACCTAAGGAAAGCCCCTCCTTAGTAGGTTTGAAATTGGAGAGGGCTTAATAAGAGTGTCAAAACACCTTTCATCAACCCCCCAGTGTCAAAACCCTATCTGGTTTAGGGTTTGGGGTTTAGGGTTTAGGGTTTAGGGTTTAGGGTTTAGGGTTTAGGGTTTCGGGTTTCGGGTTTCGGGTTTGGGGTTCAGCGCTTACATAAGGAGTTTCCCAGCGGGTTCAGTACCTCAGGATTGAGGCAGAGCCCGCCAATTCGGGCTGAGTATAGGTTGGGATGTTATTGTAATCCCGATTAAGGACTGCTAGTGTTATGGGGAAAATCCCAACGTATAGGGTTTAGGGAAGGGTTATAAGTTGTAAGGCTTGGAAGCTCACGGGAAATTCGCCCAGTAGCTTGCCTGGTCTTTGCTTGAATGCCCCCACCAGGAGCTCAAACTACAGAGTTTGCCATATTTACCCCTTGGAAGTGTTGATATTGTTTAGGGTTTATGGTTTCAGAATTAGGGTTTTGGGTTTGAAATCCTTCTCGTCATCCATCCTGACTGTGAAGCTGCTTGGCTCCAACACCCAGCCAGGCGCAAGGCCGCAGCTGCAAAGCCAGTTTTGTCCAAGAAAGCCCTATGCCGCAGCAATGCTCGCCAAACTTCGACCAAGCGCTGGAGAGGTCCGCGTGGTTCAACGGTGCTGGCGACGGCGAAGTCGAGTCCCAATCCGACTTGTGTGACATTGTGAACGGGTTTTCCTTTCCGGAGAATCGCCCGGCGGAGACTAGCGTCAAGGCTTCCACTCCGAATCAGGGCTCCGACAAGGTTCACGATGAGCACAACGACCCAACTACGAAGCCCACAAGTCAAGAGCTCACTCGCGGAATGCCAGCACACAGTGGCAAGCAAAGTGACGCATCAACATCGGAGTGGAAAGATGGAGTCACTAAGAAGACGGATCGCTCTCCTTTGAGTCCAGGCCTTGTCACACGTGCCAGATGCGCACAAAACAATAAGAAGCCCCTGGAGCGCTACGAGGACCTGGGATTTGGGAACAGAACTTAGGGACTTGGGGGCTTCGGCTTAGGGTTTAGGGTTTAGGGTTTAGGGTTTAGGGTTTAGGGTTTAGGGTTTAGGGTTTAGGGTTTAGGGTTTTCGTTCAGGGTTTAGGGCATCATGGGGATGAAGCACACAATGTTGAAGGACATGGACAAGGTCGAAAAGGTTGCCGCAACGTTCCAGAGCCTCGCAATGAGCATGGCCAGCGGCGAATCCAAGCCGGCCTCGCCCAAGTGTTCGGGACGTGTCACGTGCATTCGCATGACGCCGCAGCACTTCAGCCCCTTGGGATCCAGCTTCCGCGATGTGCACGTGAGCTTCTTGCCCAGGAACTTCGTCATCCAAGCTGTTGACTGCGAAGGCTATGCATGGACAGCTCATTCGTCCATGCTGCCGGGGCACCTGGCTGTGGATAGCTGCAAGTACAAGATCGACCCGCACGGCAAGGATGTGCTCATTACCCTTTGTGCCGCGCGCAAGGATCAGTCTTGGAAGGGCCTGAGACGTCTTCAGCTGTTCCGGTCGTACGAAATGGAGGCGCCGGAACAAGTCAGCGGCGACTAGAACAACTTCATCTAGCGCTTAGAGATCTGTCACGTCTGAGAGGTGCTGCCCCTGTAATTCCCGCAGTCATGCAAGCCCCTACTCTGACTTGACATGCTTTACACATGTTTACCGACTTAACGGGCTCTAAACCCTAAACCCTAAACCCTTTACACATGTTTGCCCTTTGCTTCCCTTGTCTGTTTCGGAGAACAGAGTTGAGGCGCAACAGTGTTCCCTAGGATGGAGGCAGCAGTAACGAGATTGAACACACTTGCTTTGTAGGCACTCTTTGGTTTAGGGTTTAGGGTTTAGGGTTTAGGGTTTAGGGTTTAGGGTTTAGGGTTGTTGCATGAGATGCTTCTGACTTCTGTCTGCTTCAGTTTACAGTGCCTGTACTGGCTGTTTATCGGACACGTACTTACATGTATTTTTGTTAAGAATGTTGCAAGTGACTTCGTAAGCCGTTGGAAACTTCCGAGAAACAGCCCGAGCTACAGCCACTCGACTGACCGTTCCGCTCCATCCTGAATGAGATGCTGCGATCACATAGCTACGCCTCTTCAGTGAGCTTTGGCTTTGACAGACTTAGGGTTTAGGGTTTAGGGTTTAGGGTTTAGGGTTGAGGGTTGAGGGTTTAGGGTTTAGGGTTTAGGCTTCAGGGTTTAGTTGCTGCTACTTGTTGCGAATTTTGGTGTGCGCTTCTTTGCTGGGAAACGCGCCGCCTGCAAACTTCAATGTTCCCGAGAAACCTTGGGGACCAAATGAACCCGAAAAGTCGGGGGGGGGGGGGGGGGTCATACACCCTGTACAATTCCTATATGTAATTTGAGCCATACAACCTAAACCCTGAAGCCATTTAGGGTTCATGTCGTCCCCAAGGAAACGTGCACATAAGACGTCTGCACCTGGGAGGCTGCCGGTCGCAATTCTGATCGCTGCTATTTGCCAGGTTGCCCGCACTAGGGTTTCAGGTTTAGGGTTTAGGGTTTGGGGTTTAGGGTTTAGGGTTTAGGGTTTTTCTGGTTTAGGGCTCTTCCCTTGTCTCTTGTTACCCTGAGATGCTTCACTGAGTGCCAGGCCAGTGCATTCGTCTGAAATCAAGTGGCTGCTCAAGCTGCTATCGTTTGCAAGTGGGCATGGTGTGCCCGGATGCTTGAAAGCCACAGTAGATGCAAGAGACCCTGCACACCATGCAGACTAAATGTAGACTTGGATGACACACTTTCGGGAGAGCATGCGCAGAATGTAGAGGAGGGCTGTCAAGGCAATCTTACGTGTGCTGTCAGCAGTGGACATACTCGGTTAAAAATGTAAGTGGACCCCTGAAAGGGCGGTGGGGTCATTGAGACGCGCGGTGCTCTCTTGAGCTCAGTTTGCCGTCTGCCGAAAAGGAGTGGGCAAGGCCAGCAGCTCTTCAGCCTCCATAATCCCACTTCAATTCCTTAATTAGAATCATGATCTAGGACCCGGAGAAGGCCCTTAGTTCCTTTTCTTATAATCCCCTTAAGACCAAAGAGGGGTACCCTTGTTATTCCTCGGTTACTCCTGGGCCGTACCAGCTTCCCAAGATAGAGGCCCTAGATTCTCGCACTAGGCCCGGGCAAAGGTGGGCAGGGTGCCAAAGAGATGCTGGCCATGTGACATGTTTTGTCCTGTTTTTTGCCACACCTTTGAAGATCTTGGAAAATGGTCACCGTGCATCGCTGCGTTTGCTGTTATCGGAACCCTAACCCCAAAACCCTAAACCCTATAACCCCTAAAACAGTTTGGGTGGGCTTCATCTGGCTGGCTTGCTATCTCTCACATTCAGATCGACTTCCAGACACTTTATAGTCTACAACACCCAAGACCCCAAACCTTAAACGTTAATAGACAGGGACACAATCGCCTGGCTACAACCTGACTTTAACTTTGCTTTTTTGTGTAGAATGGATATATATATATGTACATATATATATATATGTGTGTAAATTCTATGGGGGTTGTTGGAAGGTCCTTGGCAGGGACGGAAGACGCCACCTCACGACAGCGCTCAATTCATGGAGAGGGGTTTAGGGCTTAAGGTTTATGGCTTTAGGGTTTGGGGTTTAGGGTGTTCAGGATGTGGGGTTTAGGGTCGGTTATCCTAAAGGTCCTTTATTTATGCAAGGGACGATCCTTTGGGACTGGGACAAGAGTACCCTAAACGGGCAATCCCCACTAATTAAACAGGAAGAATGTCTTGTGTGTTTGCTTGTTGGGGACAGGTAGGTGCCGCTTGCCTTAAACCCGAAACCCCTGAAACCCTAAAACCCTCAAAGCCATAAAACCCCAAAACGCTAAATCTCTACTAGACACCCTGATGACCCTCACCCTAAACCCTAAACCCTAAACCCTCAAGGAGGGATCCTTGGTCCCTTCGAGGGCTGCTGGGTTTGTGCTAGCCCTAAACCCGAAACCCTGCACCCTAAACCGACTCCTGCCCATAGGACTCCGCCTAGATTGGACGAAACACTAAACCCCTAAACCAATTTCAATGTTCATTCATGCAGGAGGCCGGTAGGGTCTAGGGTTTAGGGTTGAGGGTTGAGGGTTGAGGGTTTAGGGTTTAGGGTTTAGGGTTTAGGGTTTAGGGTGCCTCCAGACGAAGGTCCTAGATCTCAGAGCCCACAACGACCCCTAGGGCAACAAACCGACAGCTAAACCCTGAAGCCTAAACCCTAAACCCTAAACCCTAAGCCCTAAACCCTAAACCCTAAACCCTAAACCCTAAACCAGTTGTTGCTGGCGCGAAGAGCAGCACTCAACCTCCCCACAGGGCGAAGCCGAAGATGCCACGGAGGCCGACCCCCCCCCCCCCCCAAAAAAAAAAGTCAATAAAATAATAGGGTTTAGGGTTTGGGGTTCAGGGTTTAGGGTTTAGGGTTTAGGCGGTTTAGGGTTTAGGGCTCAGGGTCCCAGGCAAGTCTTGAAGTACTCCAACGACCTGAACGAGACGGAATTCTCATTCTTCCTCTTTGGTGGACAAGTCTTCGACACTCGGCAGGGCATGTGGTTTACTCGGGCGCGAGAGCCCCTGCGAAAAGATCAGTTTAGTTGACCTTCGACTTTCTGGGTTTTCCGACCCTAATCCCTAAGTCCTGAACCAACCCGTAACCCCTTACCCCTTACCCCTGACCCAGCCCCACACTCTCGGACTCAGGGTGGTGCCCCAAGCCGGAAGCCCAAAGCCCTAAACCCTAAACCCTGATCCCTGAACCCTGAACCCTAGCCCAACCCCCCCACCCTCAGTAGGACTCAGGGTAGTACCCCAGACTCGAGACCCTAAACGGGTCTAAGGTTCGTGAACCTGGCAGTGCTCTTTGTACAAGTAGTTGCCCCCCTCCTCACTATACTGAGCATAGTTATGGGATCCTTGCAACCAAACTTTGCTTCCTTATAGCACTGCTTATGAATACGGGTGACCCTCCTTGTAGGGTTTAGGGTGCCTACTCCTAACCTTTTCAAGCACTACGATGCAAGGACCGGTCTGGACAAGCTGCGAACCCCTCGCCCGACTGGATCAATCAGCCTCCTGGCGAGCTTGCTTGGGTTCTAGGCAAACCCGAAATCCTAAACTCTAAACCCCAAACCCCAAACCCCAAACCCTAAACCCTAAACCCTAAACCCTAAACCCTAAACCCTAAACCCTAAACCCTAAACCCTAGCCCTAAACCCTAAACCCTAAACCCTAAACCCTAAACCCTAAACCCTTAACCCTAGTCTAGGTTTCAGGTGTTTTGGGCTTTACGGGTTTTCGTTTTAGGCTATGGAGGCCGGTATTTCCAAGTTTGGGGTTTAAGGGGTGTGGGTTCGAATTTGGGGTTTTGGGAAGTTCTAAACTCTAAACCCCAAACCCCAAACCCTAAACCCTAAACCCTCAACCCTAAACCCTAGCCCTAACCCCTAAACCCTACACCCTAACAAGTCACCAACCCAACATGGGGCCACCCTCGTGGCGTTCTGGGTTTCTTACCCTCAAGTTCCCGTACCGGGCCCACCCTTCGTGTGGAATCCTAAGCTTGTGAGCCGAAGAAAGGGTTTAGGGTTTAGGGTTTAGGGTTTAGGGTTGAGGATTTAGGGTACAGGGAGTAGAGTTTAGTGCACCGAGCTTTTCTTCTGGAACTTGGTACACAGAAGCCACTCCAAGCAGGGTCTTTGGGCACTCACCTCCAGACTACTGCTGCGAATGGACTCTCTGGGAGATGGATGCATCAACTCTTCTGTTGTGGCTTTAAGGTTTGGGGTTGTATGCTTTTTTTTGTTTTGTGAATTTCGATGTTTAGAGGTATAGCGTGTAAGGTTCAGGTGAAGAGCTTTGGAGTTTAGGGTGCTTTTAACCCTAAACCCTGAACCCTGAACCCTATAAACCCCAAACCCTAAACCCTAACCCTAAACCGCGCTCACAACAAAAGACCAGATACCAAGCACGACAGGACTGAGGACCCAAGGCTTGGTCTGGGTGTTGTGTTTTAGGGCTTATAGGTAGGGATGCTCCCCCTTTTGCTAACAGTCCTTGAGAGGGAATCTAGTACTCTCTCAATTATCATCCTACTTCAGCACCGTGAGTATTAGGGGGAACATCCCAATTTGAAGGGCAGTGTTTCAGGTCTTGGGGTTTACGGTTTGGGGTTTAGGGGTTAGGGGCTTAGAGGGTTTTTAACGGTTCAGGGCCTAGGGCTTGGGCACATGGCTTAGGGCCTAGGGAGCTTATTTTTTTGATCATGTCGTTCATGTAGAGCGCCCCTGGTCCTCAGGAGCATGTGGGACAACATCGTCGAGGCAGACGCGAAGCTCGAATCTTTCAAAGGCCAGCCAGATGGTTTAGGGTTTAGGGTTTAGGGTAAAATTTTAAAACAAGCCAGAAATTTGTAGGCTATCAGTCATTGAAAGGCCGGAGGCAACCTACCCTGAAACCTCCCAAACTGCGTGTTGAGACCGTCGTGGGCGAGACGCCCCTGCCCCAGGGTCCCTTCATGGGTACTTCGTGAGCCCCCATGTATACGTCTACTGATAAATTTGTTAGGGGACTTAGGCAAATACAGCTCTAATTGAGGTTTTAGTGCCCAAACCTCCAAGTTGTGACTTATTGCGTTAAGTGTAATTCATCGTAAGCTTCATAAGTCAAAACCCTAAACCCTAAACCAGGCCCCATGTGTTGCTTGTGTCACGTCCTGGGTCCTCGCACATCACGGCTGTATTTAGCAAAAGCACTTGTGAGATACACCACTCCGGGTGGAAGGCCAAGAGTCAGTTTCCAACAGCTTCGGGTTCAGGGTTTAGGGCTTGGGGCTTAGGGCTTAGGGCTTAGGGTTTTAGGGTTTTAGGGTTTTAGGGTTTAGGGTTTAGGGTGTAGGCTTTACAACCGAAACCTAACCGCAGCCCTGAATTCTGTGAGCCCCTTGTGCCCTGAGCGCTCAAGACCCCAGACCCTCAACCCCGAAGCCTACAAGCCCCAAGCCCTAAAGCCTAAAACCCTAAACCCCAAATCCCTACAAGGAGGTGCCCCACTTACTGTACGATCTCTAGTTAAGGGACTGCTAACCTCAAATAGGATCCTTATCAACCGGGGCCCCGGTTTGTAAACCCTAAACCTCAAACCCAACAAAGAAACATAACCCGAAAACACTTGCCCTCGTAGTCCAGCCAGGCTTTCAGACGTCCCTGGAGCAGTCGCTGCGCGATTGGAAGAAGCGCCCTGGACGTGTGAAGACCTGGGAAAAAGTGCCGTTCTTGGGGAACTGATTGAGACCTCCGGGTCTCAGGGTTGAATTCATGGGGTTTAAGGTGAGGTAGGTTTGGGGTTTAGGGTTGAGGATTAGATCTAAACCCTAAACCCTAAACCCTAAACCCTAAACCCTAAACCCTAAACCCTAAACCCTAAACCCTAAACCCTAAACCCTAAACCCTAAACCCTAAACCCTAAGCCGTTTCGAACTTGTGGGGTTTACGGTCTAGGGTTTGTAGGGGCTCTGGTTGGCTAAAGCTCTAAGGGTATAGTTATTTGGTCCCGTAATTTGGTCCCTTACCTTCCTGCAAGGGTTCTGAAGTATGGGCCCTTGCTTTTTTGGGGGGGTATATAAGGGGTCCCCTTTTAATGGGCCCTTGCTTTTTTGGGGGGGGGGGGGCGTATATAAGGGGTCCCCTTCTTAAGGGCCCATGCAAAAGGGAGCATGTAACTACCCTAATCCCTAAATCCTCAAGCCCTCAGAGAAGCATGGGAACTAAACCCTAAACCCTAAACCCTAAAACCCTAAACCCCCAAACACTACGCCAGGAAGTCTCCAAGGACTCCCAGACGCCCCAAAATCCACAGAATGGGAAAGAGCCACGGCCCGAATCCCTAAATCCCCAAGCCCTAAGCCCTAAACCGGGTTTAGGGTTTAGGGTTTAGGGTTTAGGGTTTAGGGTTACCCCTAAACCCGAAACACTAACTGGGGTACCCCTAATATAGACCCCAAATAGTGGGACCTCTCTTATAATAAGGACCCCCAAAAGGCACCCCCAGTCTCGGACACCCCCAGCGTAACTCCCCGAACCCTAAATTCTTACATCCCGAAAGGCTAAAAAATCCCGAAACGCTAGACCTCCACGCCCGAAAGTCCTGAAGTCCCTAGATTTCTAAACCCTATAGTTTCCTACATCCCTAAATCCTTCAAAACCTGAAATGCCCAAAAACCCTAAACCCTAAGTCCCCTGAGGTGGTACTCCGGCGCGGAACCCGAGAGGGATGCCTTGCCTGGTGAGTGGCAGGAGCGTCTCGACCCTCTGCAGACTCTTCTGCTGCATATTGGTACAGGTTGGGGCCCCCTTACTATACTAACTGTAGTTAAGGGACTTATAACCTAACTTAGGGTCCTTATAACCCAATTTAGGGGCCCTTATAACTCTACTTATAACTAGGGGGCCCCACCCTGTAGGGGGGGTTGGTGGGTGGTCAGGGTTTGGGATTAAGGGGTTTAGGGTTAGGGTTTGGTGTATATGGTTTAAATTGCCCTGAACCCTGGGCCCTGCGGCATCCGCTAAGGAAGCTGATCATCGTACGTTGCATCCGCCCTGACCGTGTGCTTCCGGCCGTGCAGGTCTTTGTGGCACCTTGTCAGACATCAAGGGTGTTACTAGGGTTGTTATTAGGGTCTTTGTGCGTTTAGGGTTTAAGTTGTTTTGTTCAAACCCGGAATCCTGAACCCTAAACCTCCTGGACAGGGTTGACAAGTCAAAGCTCCTAAGCCCTGAACACTCAACCCTCGTGTCAACATCCGGTGCTGCTGCTCCTGAACGGATTGCCAGCAGACATGCTAGCTTTAGTAGAGTTGCCAGTGCCGCGGGAAGGGCCCTGATATTGTTTCGTGGTTACTGTTCCTTTTCTTTACACAAGTGTCCCTGACAGCACCTACGAAGTGCTTAAACCCTACGCCGCACAGCCTAAACCCTAAACCCTAAACCCTAAACCCTAAACCCTAAACCCTAAATCCTGCACAATTCGGGCAGCCAGGCTCCCATTTGAACTCTGAAAGATGGGATTGTTCACCCTTAGCCCTAAGGGTCCATGTACCTAATTATGGAAGACTTGGGCCTTAAAGTACTTCCTATATAAGGACTTTTGGGTCTAAGTATATAATAATAAAGTACATGGACCCTGGGGGTAGACGAACAGTCCTGAATAGGGCTAATGTGTCGGGGGGCACTAGAATCCCAATGAAGGATTGCTAGCGTAAGGGGGAGCATCCCAACCTCCAAGTGAGCATTGTCAAGACTGCAGGGTTTTTAAGATCCACCCTCAGCCCTACACTCAAAACCCCAAACCCGAAGCCCAGAACTTTAAAACCCTAAAGCCTAAACTCTAAACTTTAAACCCTAAACCCTAAACCCTAAACCCTAAACCCTAAACCCTAAACCCTAAACCCTAAACCCTAAACCCTAAACCCTAAACCCTAAACCTCAACCACTCATCTTCCAAACCGCAAAGCCCTTAAAGCCTCAAGCATCAAGGCGTTGAAGCTCCTAAGCCCCAAACCCCCCGAACCCCCACTCTTGACCCCGTAAACCCTAAACCCTCAAAACTCCCCAACACTCCCTAAACTCTAAACTCCCTAAACCCCAAAACCCCAACCCTAAACCCTAAGATCTAAGCTCCCTAAACTCCCGAAACCCTAAACTCCCCAAATTCCCTTAAGCCCAAAACCCTTAAGGCGCTGAAGCTGGACCAGAAGTTCCCCAAAACCCCAACCCTAAACCCTAAAACCTAAGTTTTAAACCCGAAGCCCTTGAGGCGCTGAAGCTGGATCAGAAGTTGGTCCCTAAACCCTAAACCCTAAACCCTAAACCCTAAACCCCAAACCCCAAACCCTAAACCCTGAACTCTAAACTCCCTTTAGCTGAAGGCGCTGAAGCTGGATCAGAAGTTCGTGGAGCCGCCACCGCTGGACCTAGAAGCGATCTACGACGTGCCTGGGGGATGCAAGTCAGAGGGGAGTAGGGTTTAGGGTTTAGGGTTTAGGGTTTCGGGTTTATAGGGTGCACTAGGGGTTTTTTGGGGGAGAAGTTAGGGTGTTTAGCGAGTTTTGGGGAGTTTTTTGGAAGCGTTTAAAAAGTTTAGGGAGGTTTCGGGGGTTTGGGCTTTAGGGGTTTGGGGGGTTTTGGGGCGGGTTTAAGGAATGTAGCGGGCTTAGTAGGGAGTTCAAGGGGTTTAGGGAGTTTACGGGATTTAGGGGGGGGGGGGGGGTTTTGGGTTTAGGGTCGAGGGGAGTTTACGTAGAATTTAAGGCTGCTCCCTTCTGTGATGTTTAGTTTGACTATGCGGGTTGACCCCTTGGGCTGAGAAATGCCGCAATACAAAAAGGTGGAGAAGGGAGCTCCCTATACTCACCTTAAGCGGTTTAGGATTTAGGGTTTCGGATTTAGGGTTTAGGATTTAGAGTTTGGGGCTAACTGGTTTTTTTGAACGGTGCAGTGATACCCTGGTTAAAGCCTAAGCCTTAACCTCCAAAGCGTGTACCCTCTCAAGTGGCGTCGGCAACGCAACAACGATGCGTTCCTCGAGGTGTTTGCGGGTTCAGTCTAAGGCTAGCTACATGGGCCCTTAATATGGTCCCTTACCTCCGTGGAAGGGTTCTGATGTATGGGCCCTTAATATGCATGGGGAAAAGAAGGGGTACATAAGGGGTACCCTTTTAAGGGCCCATACCATGTAACTACCCTAAGATTCAAGGCTTCCCAAGTTTGTTTCCACGGCGCAGCTCCTCATGTGCAACCCTCGGAGTCCCAGCTAGGGATGCTTAGCCTTGGATTACTTCATCAAGTTACAGAATCTACCACAGAGTCTAGGACCCAGAGTAGGCCCGTATTCTCTTTCTTTAGGGTTTAGGTTCCTTTATCAGGCCCCTTAAACCAAAAGGGCACCCTTTTCATTCCTAGGTTACTCTTGAGTCTAGGAGCATACCGTAGCATGTGTGGTGCTTGACTCAGCTTTCATGAGCATGCGTGGATCTGGCAGGGAGTGTTGCACATAGGGACGATGCAAGTGAAACAGTTTTAGGGTAGTTACATGAGCCCTTAATATGGTCCCTTACCTTCTTGAGGGTTCTGAAGTATGGGCCCCTGAAATTTACAGGGTATATAAGGGGGTGTACAAGGGGTCCCGGTTTAAGGGCCCATAGTAAGGGACCATGTAACTACCCTAAACCTGAAACCCTAAACCCTCAACCCCCTAAACCCTAATCCCTAAACCTTGGACCCTAAACCCCAAACCCTAAACCCTAAACCCCACCCAAGATACAGCATGCTCTTGCAGCTCGAGTCTTCAACTCTTCTGGGCCCGTGCCTCTTGCTCAGGAATCGAGCTGTACGACGCCACTCCTGCCTCTTGCTCAGGGTTTAGGGCTTTAGGATTTAGGGCTTTAGGGCTTTAGGGCTTCAGGGCTTTAGGGCTTCAGGGCTTTAGGGCTTTAGGGCTTTAGGTTTTTAAGGTTTCAGGGTTTAGGGTTTAGGGAAAGAAGCCTGCAATACCGATTGCTCGTGCGGTCTAGGAATATCTGACGACCACGATATGTGCACGACTAGTTACTCGAAGCCGAACCCTTACTCCTACATTATTAACATTGCGCCCAGGTTTAGGGTTTAGGGTTTTTGTTGCCCGAGACACCGAAATTCTACGCTGCAAGACTTCCCTTGCTCGCCCACACTTTCAACGCCTGGTGTGTCGGCGTAGGGTTTTTGTAGGCTTGCAGTTTAAAGGATTCCATGAGCGGACCCGCCATGGACGGACGTCCCTTTATGGACTTACGTGCTACGTACCCGAAGTTACTTCTTTAGAGCTTAGGGTTTAGGGGTTTAGTTGTTCAGGGATAGGGCCTAGTATGCCAAGCAGCCCTGAACCACTCCCTCAACTTCAAGTGGCATCTTTTCACCCTAACCAACCCCTAAACCCCAAACTCCCTAAACACCAAGCCGCAACCCCCTAAACCCTAAACCCTAATCCCTAAACTCCCTGAAACCCCACACCCACCAAACCCCTAAACCCTAAACCCTGAACCTCCTAGACCGGCAGAACTTTTTGGCTTAATCGCCTGAAGCAAGTGCTTTACCCTTGAGCAAGTGCTCGCCCCAACGTTCGGCGACATTCTGCCGCCATGAGCGCCTCGGTAGCTGACTGGTGCCGATTTTTCTTTGTTTCATTTTTGGTTTTTTGTTTACGTTTACATGTTTATGGGTTTATGGTTCAGGGTTTAGGGTTTAGGGTTTAGAGCGAGCCCTAAACCCCAGACCCCAAAACCCAAGATACTTCAAGGCTGGAACCAGTAAGGCAAAGCCCTCATCTACCGCTTCACCTTTATCGACATCGAGGATGGGGACCCCGAGGCCGAATGCTTATGATCTAGGGTTTAGGGTTTAGGGGTTAGGGTTAGAGTGTAGGGGGTCCAGGGTGTTTAGGGTGTTTAAGGTTTAGGGCCTTTAGAGTGTTTAGGGTGCTGTAGTTTTAGGGTTTAGGTTCAATTTTTTGCTGTTTGAGTAGTTTTATGCATTGGGACTGACCAACCACCCTAAACCCTAAACCCTAAACCCTAAACCCTAAACCCTAAACCCTAAACCCTAAACCCTAAACCCTAAACCCTAAACCCTAAACCCTAAACCCTAAACCCAGTACACCTTCAGGAAGGAGCATTCCTCGCCTTTAGCCTTCAACCCTCAACCTTAAACCCCCTGAACCTCCCGAAAACCCCCTCAACCCCCAAAACCCCGAAACCCCTAAACCCCCTAAACCCTAAACCTCCTAATCCCCTAAACCCACAAAGCCCCCTGTATAAACCCCAAGCCCCGCAAGCCCCTGTATGCCCCGTCTGCCCCCTAACCCCACCCAAACCCTGAACGCCAAACAACCCCCCCCCCCCCCCCCCCCAAAAAAAAAAAAAAAAGAAGAACAATACATAAATAAATATATATATATATATATGTGTATATGTATATGTATATATATATATAATGACATAAAAAAAACACAACCCTGAACTCTCAACCCCCTCAACCCGAAACCTAAACCTTGCGATGTTCCCCCTTATGCTAGAAGCCCTTACTGGGGATTATGGTCGGGGCGACTAGAATCCCTATGAAGGACTCTTAGTATCAGGGGGAACATCCCAACCATAACCCCAAACCCCAAACCCCAAACCCTAAACCCTAAACCCTAAACCCTAAACCCTAAACCCTAAACACCCTACACCCCCCTAAGTTCAGGTCGCTGGCCTCTCGAAGTCCAAGAGCATGCCGGCCTTGCCCATCACGCTCGACCCCGAGAATGAGGCGAGCGCTCTGGGGGTTTGGGGTTTGGGGTTTAGGTTCGTTTTAGGCTGTTTTTTTTTTTTTTTTTTGGGGGGGTAGGTGTTTGCATGAATATCACTGTTGCTGTTATTATTTTTGATTGTTATTATTCTTGTTTGTTTTTTTTTTGGGGGGGGGGGGGGGGGGGAGTTGGAGTTGGGGTTCAGGGTTTGCGTGTTTTTTTGGGGTTTGAGCTCTGTCTTTTGTTTTTTGGCGGTTCAGGGCTTCGGAGGGATTGGGGATTTTGGGGGGTTTAGGGTTTAGGGTTTAGGGTCTAGGGTTTAGGGCTTAGGGTTTAGGGTTTAGGGTTTAGGGTGTTCAGGGTTCATCAAGGGACTACCTTGGACCGGTAAGGCTGTGGGGACCCTTTTTAAAGATTATGAGGGCCAGATTCGAAGTATATAAAAGAAGCCTTAAGGGGCACAACCTTTTAGGGGGACGAGTCTTAATCCCTGTAAACCCTGAACCGCAAGACCTCAACCCTAAACCCCAAACACTAAAACCCTTAAACCCCAAACCCTAACCTGAAACCCTAAGCCCTAAGCCCTAAGCCCTGAGCCCTGAACCCTAAACCCTTACCTTCCCCCGCTCGCTTTGAGGCGCAAATGAGCGAGACGCAACAGCGGGAGTACGTCAGCAGCTTGCCACTGCAGGCCTCCCGCAGTGGATGAAGGAACATGCCTTATACCCCGAGGTTTAGGGTTTAGGGTTTCGGGTTTAGGGTTTAGGGTTTAGGGTTAACTTGGGATGTTCCCCCATACTAACAGTCCTTAGTTAGTATAAGGGGGAACATCCCAACCTTAAACCCTGAACCCTATACAGTTCGCCAGTTCGCCAGAACTTTATAGACATATGGGTATTGCCTCTTCTGGGGGGGGGGGGTACCTTGCGTTGGAGTCGGGGATTACGGTTTTGGGCTCAGGGCTTACGGTGCAGGGGCTGCGTATTTGTTTCTCTGATGGTTTTTGTTATCCTTATTCTCCGCTGGGCTGGTCAAGGAGTTTGAAGGATTTTCAGGATTTGTTGGTTCAATGTCTTATTCCACCGGTTTGGATTCCTGTCCTCCAGGTTTGGCAGCTTATCCCAGAGCCCCCCCCGTTGTTCTGAGGTATTTCCGCCCCCCCCCCCCCCACCCCCCCCCCCCCCCCCCCCCCCCCCCCGCCCCCCCCCCCCCCCCCCGCCCCCCCCCCACCCCCCCCCCCGCGCCCCGCCCCCCGCCCGCCGCCCCCCCCCCCCCCCCAGCCTGTCCCCCGCAAACTCCGCAAGCTCCCGTACTTAGTTGAACCTGAATTTCTTGATGCACTCCTCTTTAAGAACCGACGAGTACCTCGGATATCATCTGTCATGTTCCTTTTTTGGGACGTTCCGGTTACAATGGGTCAAACCCTAGAAAAGCCCCGCAACATATTCCTTAGGCTCAAATAGCCCAAAATAGACCTTAACCCAAAACTCTGTCTCGTATGGTCCCCAATGGGCCCATGTACCTACATAGGGTATGCTTGGGCTTTAAGAAGCGCTCCCTGCAACCCCAAACCCCTAGACATGAAAACCTGAATCCCGGCAGCCTGAACACCAGGGTCATGCTTACAAAGCTGTAAGCCCCAAGTCATGAAACTCCTAGAGCCCTAAACCCGAAGCCATAATTTCTCAGAATGAGCCCCTAGAACCCTACACCCCCCCCGCAAGTCATGGAACCCCCTAAAAAACCCTCAACCCCGGCACCCTAGACTTGTGTCCAACACCCTAAACCCTAAACCCAACACCCTAAACCCTAAACCCTAAACCCTAAACCCTAAACCCTAAACCCTAAACCCTAAACCCTAAACCCTAAACCCTAACCTAAACCCTAAACCCTAAACCCTAAACCCTAAACCCTAAACCCTAAACCCTAAACCCTAAACCCTAAACCCTAAACCCTAAACCCTAAACCCTAAACCCTAAACCCTGGCGAGGTTGGACCGGCTCCCAGACATGCACTTCCGAACGCGGCTCCACACGTCGTGGACGAGGAGCCGGAGGAGGCGCCCTGAACACGCTGGCTGAGGGTCTTGTAGGGTTTAGGGTTTAGGGTTTAGGGTTTAGGGTTTAGGGTTTAGGGTTTAGGGTTTAGGGTTTAGGGTTTAGGGTTTAGGGTTTAGGCGTAAGAGGGGGCGGCCTTGATCCCCACTTCCTTTGACGGACTACCACGACGCTGCGTACCCGCAAAGCCCAGGGTTGCCGTTGCAATAGCCTGTGGGGTCTACAGTCTACAGGGCTCGGGATCCGGGTCCTAGACGCAAAGCCCTCAGCCCTAAACCCGAAGGCCTAAGCCCCAAGCCCTAAGCCCTAAGCCCTAAGCCCTAAGCCCTAAGCCCTAAACCCTAAACCCTAAACCCTAAACCCTAAACCCTGCCCCCCTCTACCCCTGCAGGGCTTAGGGGGTCATCGAGAGGTGCAGCTGCCGGCAGAGCTGGCAGAGTCGACCGATGAGCCCCAGGCCAGCAGCCCAAAATCCTATGGGCCCGAAACGGGTTTAGGGTTTAGGGTTTAGGGTTTAGGGTTTAGGGTTTAGGGTTTAGGGTTTAGGGTTCAGGGTTTAGGGTTTAGGGAGGGTTTTGGGTAAGGATTTGCAGGCCTGGAATCTCCAAGAACCGGTGGGCCTTCACGAGCTTGTAAGCTGAAGCCCGGGCAGCTAGGGTTTGGGGTTTAGGGTATTCAGGGTTTAGGGTTTAGCGGTTTTGGGTTTGGGTCCCTGATACTCAAGGCAGTCCTGTGGAATCCCGTCAGGCTGCCGCGGAGGAATTCCTTCCGCCGCCGTGGCTCAGCAAGCACAGGCAGACCAGGAGGGGCCTCGTAGTTAATGGTAGAGTTATAACTTTGTGGTGCTTTACTGAAACTTTAGATCTTTAGCTTTTTGGGGTTTATTGGGTTTCTTAATAAGGCAGCTAAAAGTTTATTTTTTTGCTACCCTCCTAAGTGCAGCAAAGATTATTGCAAGGACCCTAGATTGGGTTATAAGGATCCTAGCTTAGGCTATCGGTCCCTTAACTTTGGTGTTGTGTGT